TTTGTGATACACAACGGACTCATCGGCGCCATCGAACAATAATACTCCTTCCTTATTTTCGCACCGATTTGTTCACTGACAGACCCGAAAACCCTCCTTTTGAGAAAGGAGTTAGCTTATAACATAAGTTACGAATGCTGTACAGCGTGGTAGCGCCAAGTTGAAGACAGTTGGTTGCCAGTTATTAAAATTTCAGAGTTCCGGCATTCCGTGGCCGCTTCTATGCTAAATGCTAATGAAATTAAGAACACGTCTGCAGCACTGGCGCAATCTTGCGTGCTAAATTCTCATCATCCTGCTCTGTTTCAAATAATCAATTCCCATGAAATACTCAAGCAAGATGAGCAGCCACAGGACTCCGACTTCCTTCAAAAATAATTTTATTTCGTTGTTATATGATGTCTCGCATGCAGAAAGAGCTACCCTATAAGAAGACGCCTTTTGGGCAAAATCCGTTTTCCTTTAACCTGGCTTTTAATTTCTTTAAAGCACTGTACAGACGACGCTAGCCTCACTAGTATGTTGGTTTACAGGCGACAGATGTATTCTCCTTTTCTTGATTTAAGCTGTGTAATTTAAACTAGTTCTGTCGAGCACAAATGTGGAATTCGTCGAATACAACAGTAGTAACTGATTCCGCAGTGATTTTAACGAAAACCGTTAAATCTATGATCGGTATAACGGTAGGAGCATTTACTTTGAATGTTCTCATGTTCGTAATGTTTGTTATTAGGGATAACGTAAAGGAAAGACCGTTTAACATATATGTCATTGGATTACTGGCTAGCAATATCTTGTACATAGCCATTGTGGATACCACGGAAATTCTGCTAAAAGCCTTTGGAGCTATTTGGGTGGGAAATGCCGGTTGTAGCGCCTACCTATTCGCCATGTACATTTTCCGCGGTATCAGCAAGTGGACGCATGCATTAATCACCATTAACCGAGGATGGGCGCTGAAATGTCCCATATCGTATAAAAACCGGCATAATCTGCAAACGGCTCTACTGCTTTTTGGTATGACTGTGGCGGTTGTTGTTGGATTACTGTTGCCGGGATTAATCTTGGATGAGATGTACTACCGAACACCTTTAAAGTCTGGCTGTTCGGTGAACAACCAAGAACAATATGCGCTGATGCTAACTGTGCAGTTGCTCATATTTGATATGCCCTTAGCGATCATCATCGGCGGTTATCCGTTTATATTGTGGACGTATTGGAAGCAAACAAGGCGGCGCGTTCTCCATTCGATTATGGCTTTGGCGGAAGTCAGCAAAACACACGACAACACACCGCCGAGAAATACCAATAAAACGGTTGTTACTGCCATGTCTAGCACGAAGAATCGACCGTTTATGCTTTTGACCATGTTGACGATCGGGACTCTGGTCTGTTGGACGCCCATAACCTTTTTCTTTACACTGGATTTCTTTATGAAAGTAGATTATACCGGAATGTTTTTTGAAACAGCCAAAATTCTGTACATAATGCAGGCTGTCTTAGACCCAATGTGCTTCAGCGTCTGCATCACCCGAGATTTACCACCCTCCGCTCGGAGTCGCAAATATCGTTGTTGGAGTCTCCGGCCGTATTCCGTGGAATCCACCGCACCCTCTTAAACCCATTTTATGTATATTGTTTAACAAGTACATTTGCATTCACTAATGTAGTAATGTTGTGCAGTGCAACTATCAGTAAACTAAAATGTTGTAAAGTATGTATGTACCCGCGCTTGCACTTTTTGTTGTTTCTATGGCTATTACCTATTAAAAAAACGTTCTCTACACAAGTGTTGCAATGTTCAGGGTTGCTTTTTTGATTTTTATCACAATCCCAGCCATAAATGGCCGCCATAAGTGGCCGCAAAATTTTGATAAGCAGTTGCTCACATGTCAGTGCTCTCCATGCTTCCTGAGCAAAAGAGATTGACCACAGAGTGAACTGCTAATTCAGTAAACGGAGTTGAGTTAGCATCATCTTGCTGTGCAGGCAGTCGTGGCAAAAAAGCTTTTTTACAAACAAATGACCTAAGTGGTCTGTATTTTTCGCTACGGCGCATTCTGGATGTTTTGTAACTGGTACCTGTACCGGTTCGTAAGCTGTATCTTTATCGGCATAAACTGTCACGAATATTGCAACAACGCAAACGAGTTGGTTTTACATATATCTCGAAACATGACCTACTCCTACCCGTGACACGCACACGATAGCATATGTATGATTCCGTGCAGTGTTATTTCAACTCATAAATTGTAAGGTTTATAAACGATACAATTTATAGACATAACCGGCGAGCTATTTAATGTTGCTCGTTGGATTAACTGCAGTTCGGGTCATGACTTGGGATGTTAATGCAGAATATTTTCCGATATCACATAGTTTTCGATTCGGTGCGCCTGTGGCAAAATTAAGATAACTGGGAATGAAATGCAGTAAAAGCAGTAAGAACAATGCAGTAAAAATCTTGGTGGGTCAAAAAAAACCACCAAACTATGAAAGGATATTCAAGTTCAGGTACTTTTGCAAACCGCTAATCTTGGAACCGGTGCAAATAAAGCGGTCCGGAGATCCTTCAGCGCTAGCGCAAATAGAATCGGATCCATAACAGACTGAATGGCAAACAACAGTGCCATAATCTCGTAGCCGATCGGTGAATCCACTTGCACGAAACTGGCCACGGTATAAAATGTGACATTGGGTGCCCAGCACACCAGAATGCTCAACGTCAGCATTGTCGTAATAAGAAACGCGCGATTACGCTCCTCCTTAACCACCTTCCTTGCATTACTGGCTTCCGCATTCTCATTGCCTTGTGCCTCGTCCGTAGCGTGTCTTGACCGAAGGGTGCTCACCGCAGAAAACAGCTGCTTTGCCGACATCCTGACTTGCCGACGGCGCTTATGCTTCAGCAATAAATAAGGGTACGTCAACAAAATAAGTAAAGTCGGGGTCACATAAATGACAAACTGGACAACCATATTCCACGCATACTGAGCCGGTCCGTTCAGCATGCATCGATGATCGTTGTACGATGGCCGGTAGAATAACGCATCCTGTACAATTCCCGGTAAACAGATTATATGCACATATGCCCATAAGCAAATGACGGTATACAATGCGGTTTTCTTATTATGATGGTTCTTAAACAAAACCGGAAAGGTTACGGCTAAGAGTCGGTTCAGACTGATAAGAGCGTGCGAGTGGATCGTCATAGCGCCCAGCGCCGACAAGGAATACGTGTAGACATTGCAAGCCGCGTTGCTGAGAGGCCACGTTAAATGCGTACTGTTGACAATGTCCAGCGGATTATTTAGAACCGAGTATAAAAGATTGGCGAATAGCAAGTTGCCCAGGTACACGTTAAACGGCGTATGGAGGTTTTTGTTAACGATGAAGATAATGAGGAAGTATGCGTTGAGAACAATGGCCACGGGTGAAATAATGAGGACGCTGATCGGTGTAAATGTCCAACTGAGAAATGTGGTAGTGGTACTAGTGTTAATGACGACTCGAATCGTTTGGTTCGCTTCCATATTCCTGCTGAAAAAACCGTTAGAAATCTTTTTCCGAGCGGAGATTCACGTAGACAGAGATCTGGATTACAACTGAATCACTTCCGTGCTGTTTCCAACTGGATGTATAGAGTAGTCGTGCACATTTCGTCTACTAAACAGACATTTCCATCAACATACAGAGTATATACAGTACTTAGATTCACCAAAAGGCAACCAACAGCGCAGCGACGCTGTATTTTGTGCGTGACTTATTGTTCTGATACGTATCAATTTACTTAAGAGGTATTTACCTAATAAAAAGCATAAGTATAAGACAACATGCACGCCCACAGTACGCGACTCATGTTGTCTACGGTATCTGCGAACACAAACTAAATTTCAGCGGCACTAAAAGCGATATAGGATGGTAAGCGATACACAGGTTCGCAAGTTGTACTGTGCATTAGAAATCGTATTTTCACCTTGATCACGTTGACACCAGTGAAATCTTTTCCGGATACAGTGATCCTTGTGCGAAGCTGCGCCCCCGCTCATTCTTCCGGCGTTACCTCAAGTGAAGATGTTTTGTAATCAACATGGTAAGTAATTCAGATGTTGATAACTTTATCCATACGACCCGAGTGCACTTGACGCTGGAGGATGACGGAGCTAAAGACACTTCAGGGCGCACATGGCCAGACAGCGGCGTAACTGCCACTTAGTGCACGTGGTGCAAGCAGGAAGCTAATCAGATTAAAGGTTTGGATGCAGTGGGGCCATTTCGAAATGATGACTGTTCGGTAGCTTAACTAGGGTAGCCAACCGATGGTCATTAATCAGAGCCCAACTTGTGACCGCTAAACGACCTTTCGAAACTGTTTTTAATATTAAAACCGCAATGAGCTAAACAACTGCTATAAATTAAGTGTCGTTCAACTGGCAAACCTATTAATTTGGCATCTTCATTACAGAGTAGAAGTATCTGTACATGTGTAGCTGCTTGTAGATAATCAATATTCTCGTGCCATTATGCGTATTTATACATACCCCTAACATAACAGAATTATGAAGTACAAGTTACTGCTTCTCAACAAACATACGCGACAAAAGCAATATAAAAGTGAATACGTTTTACTGGGTTTCCCAGTTCCCGTTCCTGCATTGCATAATCTGTATTGTATGGTTTCGCTTACTTGTTGACTGCTGTCAAAATACGATTCTGACCATATTATTGTTGATTTGGGCGCTTTTTATGAAAGCTTATTTGTTGTGTGTACCAAAACTTATCGATTACACAGCGGCCATTTTACTTTGATGCTGTCGTGTACGACTATGGATGTCAAGTCTGCACCGGCAGAAAAAGTCAACAATGTGTATTGATCATTTCTAACGCCAACCAACGTAGGCGAAGAAAATGACACCAACGTATACTCCACCGCACAACAAAAGAAACCACGTCGTCAGTCCGCAAACATTGACTGACATTGACAAAGACTAACAGTGAGAAGCATGGGAAGCTGGAAAATTCCTGCCAGAGAAAGCACGCAGCAGAATCTGATCACTACAAATATGGCATCTACATTTTTAGCTAGTACACTTTTGGCTCGGAACAGTAAGCTATGATTCTACAAAATTTTGACCTGAGCCAGTTTCGCATTGCTTGATCAGCTTCTTTGTCAACGACATTGGCCTGGATGTATTTGAAGTGGTTGGCATAGAGCGCGGCGTAAGTCTTTCATGGCCAGAGCAAAGAGAATCGGATCCATAACTGACTGCAGGGCAAACAGCAAGGAGATCACACGGAAAACAACGGGGCTGTCGATCCCCATGAAACCGTTAACGGTGTACACGATTACATTGGGCGCCCAGCACACTAAGATGCTGAGCGTCAGCAGTGACGTCACGGTCAAGGCATAGCTCCGTTCTGACACCGGCTTCGGAAGATTCACAGTCTGCTCGTTTTCCTGTGGTGGGGTACTAGTTGGTATGGCCTTTGAGCTAGCCCTCCGCGAAAGAGAAAATCGAATTCGTTTGCGCCGTGTGTGCTTAAATAATATGAACGGATAGGTCAGCAAGATAAAACAAACAGGTCCGGCGTATAAAACAAACTGCACGAAAGTGTTCCATGTAAACTGCGCAGCACCGTTTAACAGGCACCGGTTTTCCAGCAAATTTAACCGATAATAAAGTGCATCTAATATAATTCCCGGCAAACATATCGCGTGCACATAGATCCACAACAACGCCACTGCCATTAATGATGTTCGCGTATTATGATGCGTCCGGTAGTTAACTGGGAAGGTAACCGCCCAAAAACGATTTAAAGTAATAATGACATGTGAATTGACAGTCAGCGCGCCTAACGCCGATAAGGAATAGGTATAAACGTTGCAGGCGGTGGCTCCCAGCGGCCACGTGTGAAACAGTGCATCTACGATGCCCAGCGGATTATTTAACACGGTGTAGATGAGATTGGCAAATAAAAGATTTCTCAAGTATACGTTAAACGGCGTACGGAGTTCCCGCTTAATTAAGAAAACAAACAGACAGTACGCATTTAGAACGACGGCCACCGGGGAGATGACCATCTCACTGATCGGCGTAAAACTCCACGTATACGCGCTGCTGTTAGAGGTATCCAATAACAGAATACTGGTGTGGTTGTGTAACGTCATGCTTCTGCTACCAGAGTGCGTGTTTAACAGGCGGTAAGGGTCTGAATGTAAACTGCGCTGAAATGTGAGCAATAAATCATCAACAGCAAATTTTCATCGCAACCGGAAATTGGATAGTGGGCGCCTAAAATAATAGCGTTATCCAATGGAGCACCTGCAGCGACAAAGCACTTCTAATATAATATCATTATCATATTGATCCAGAATCGACTCCTGTGACGTGCGACATCGGTATGGCAGATTAAGTAACCAAGCAAAATCCGCAAATCATGGACTTGAATTTGTTGAAAATAACGTATTAAAGCTCCAGTACTGAGTATTAAATTTATATAAAGCTGAAAGCGTTGTGTTTTAATTAGGTATCAGCATTTTACATTAAACTAGTTGATCGCGTCAGCACCCTGTACAAAAAGCTAGATGGACGCAGTGTAAAATGTACCAGCGACATTTGCACGCGCATTCTAATGGGAGAATTGGGGCACCCTGCACCAAACCTTCAAGTTGCCTCATTACCAGATGCGCACCGATGGCAAGCAAATAGGCTTAAATTTCATAACAAGAAGAGAAAGCAAGTAAATATTGCGTGGCTCTTCAAGTATCTTGCTGCAAGGAAAAATGTCACAGCAGTCCCAGGTCGCTGGTCGTTGCGTGACAGCACTAATCATGGTGCAGATATAGGTACCATCAGCCAGCATTGGTCTATTTATTGCCCGCTTTGAAAGCACCGCTTTTTAATAATTATTACCAGTTTTCAAAATCATTTCACTGAGCAAGAGATGGCGAACTTAATAAGTGAGCAGCTTAAAAATAGGCGCTGCGTTTAATGAGAAGACTAGCGTTTACATAGGCTGCTTTCAGCTGTTGATGGCTGCTTCAAGTTCAGTCAGCTGACGCAAAATACTTCGTTAGGTGGAAACCTTTCAGAATTCATTAGCCTGCTAATTAAAAGCACCTGGGACTCGAATGTACTTCAGCTTTTTTCGAGGCTTCAAACAAAGTACTCCAGCATTGAAGACTGTTCATACTTAGGCACTCCATTAAGCGATTAGCAGAGCCGGAAGTCTTACCGGATCTTCTACTTAGTTAATTTCCTGTAGCACCTCGGAGCAGACCGGTCCTGAATAACGAACGATAGAAACAGGTTAACCATCGATTTGCTGGAAACACCACACCTGGAAACTGAACATTATGAGACAAGACGGTATAATTTTGTTTCAGAGCGAAACAGCAAGTTCTGCGGCGGTAAAACCTTTGCAAGTGCTTCTCTCTCAGAATAAAAATTATTATTTCCATTCAAACAATTTCCGGGGATCTTTAGCCAAGTCATCTGCAACGCTAATTGCTACAGCTGCCCTCAACAGCTACACCTATTTCCAGTTAACTGCAGTGCCACTCCACCCAGCGCATTCAAGGATTAACTTCCTCTGTTTATTAATTCAAATTATGAGCATTCAGTGGATCGCTAAAATTAACTAACTGTTTGCGGTTTTCTAATCCGCGCTAAATGTGTCATTAATTTTTTGCCTGACTTAATATTTGACAGAGTACACATTTTTGTTACCTCTTCTCCATGTTTTTATAAGACATCCAAGTTTTAAAAACTACCCATTTCTTTCTTTGTTTGAACAATGCCGAACGTTTCGGCTTCCATTACAGTGCAGCATCTTTCCAATATTTCAAGCAGCTACGAATGGTCCTTCACGCCGGTCAGTGAGATTATCATTTCACCCATCTCGGTTCTACTAAATTCCTACTGCCTCTTTCTCTTCCTAACCAACAAAAAACTTCACACCGCTTTTAACGTGTATCTGGGCAACCTGCTCTTCGCCAACCTCATGTACACCATTCTGAACAATCCACTGGGCATCATCAACGGATTATACCGTATATGGCCACTGGGCACCACCGCCTGCAATGTCTACACATATTCCTTATCCGCATTCGGCGCCATGACGGTCAACTCGCATGCCTTCATCACTCTTAACCGCCTGTGGGCCGTGACCTTTCCTATCAACTACAGGAAGCATCACGGCATTCGCACATCGTTGTTCACCGTGTTTTTGTTGTGGATTTATGTGCACTTGATTTGTTTACCGGGGATCGTTATCGATGCTCGGTATTTTCGATTGGCCTTTGACAAAAATCGCTGTATTCTAAACGGATCGGCTCAACCAGTGTGGAATAATATTGTGCAGTTTGTGCTATACGTCGGTCCGGTGTGCATCATCTTGATCACTTATCCTTACGTGTTTGTCAGAGAGAGGCAACGCAGGCCGATACGCTTTTCAGTATCGGTGCGGAGCGCCCGCGTCGCCAAACCAACGCCGGATGTGTCAGCAGGGAAGACGGCAGTCGTTCCCGCAATGTCCTCGGCCGGAAGAAATTATGCTTTTACCGTAATGACGCTCCTGACTGCAAGCATTCTTATATGTTGGGTACCGAATGTCACCTATTATACTGTTACGGGCTTTACCGGGACCCATAACCACTCGACGCTGCTTGCTGTTACGCTGTTGTTTGCTTTACAGTCCGTAATGGATCCGATCTTATTTGTACTGGCATTAGGCGACCTTCGGCTGGCGTTTTTCTCCCACTGTGTGTATCAAAAGCGTAATTAGCGGTTGCTAAAGTTGCTTCGGTTATGTGCAGACGTTGTTAGATCTGGCATTAAAAGACAATAAGCTTTGTGAATCAATTTACTGGGGTGTCTAATGCTGTGCTAACACGAGGAAGCACGCTGGCTGAAGTTGATGCAAACTGCGAAAAAACTGTCGGGCATGTGTAGGAACCCCCAAAAACTTCCTCAAAAATTGCAGAAATGTGGCATCTTTTTGACCGCTTTTCTACCCTTTTCTTAAAATTTTGTGGCAATCACATGCTGTTTTCTGCATTTCATCGTAAGTTTGCAATTGTGACAAGCAAGATCAGTAAACCCATGTTCCACGATGAGCCAACTCTGCTCTTATTGGCGGCGTTGCCGTTATTACCGCCAGAGGCTGTGCTATCGTTAGAGAATGCAGTTGCCGTGGAGTTAGCAGATGCGGCTGTCGTGGCGCTGGTAGATGTGTCGGCCACGCAGTGCGCATACTGCTGCAAATCCGGCATAATAAGATCCCAGCGGCTGATTTCATAAGTAATCGGGTTCTCAGCACTGCAGCTGAACTCGAAATCGTACGGCCGTGCACTGGCATTCGTGTATGCAAACTGGTACGCCCAGTTGACAAAGTCCGATGCTTCGCAACAGTCGCACGTTCGAGACGGACCGCTGGGACAGCGCAGACCTCGGTGGAAGAACATTTGGGACTGCCGATTAACGAGCAACGTGTCGAGAATATCCTGAGACGGAAAGGCCATCGGGTTGTCGGTAATGCTTAGAGAGCTCATTGGTGTGGAGAAGTTGAAAGGTCTGCTTAGCGTTAAATTCTGCAGGCCAGGTCGCTGTTCGTCCAGACTAATTCCCTGCAAAGCCAAAAACATTAATTCAGCACCAACTTCCTGTCGTATATTTTATGGGAAAAAATTTGCTATTCTTATTTTCGTTTGATTTTCTTTCAAAACTGTGCAGTAATCAGATCACGTACGTTAAGGGTAGCAGCAACAGGCGCAAACACGCTCCAATCCAATGTTTCCAGCTTGTTCTGCATTAACACAATGTAGTTGAGCGGAGCAATGGCGTTTGTGTCGGTCAGGCGAGTATCAAACGTCTGCAGGTCAATGGCACCGATGGTGTTGTAATTAAGAAAGAGTTTTTCCAACTTGTCGAATCCTTTGAAGAACGTCGCGCTTAGCATCCCCAACCGGCATCTCCCAATATTCAGGATTACAATATTATGCCTAATTTTCAGAAGAAACTTTTCAATCGATATATCACCGCCCCCCTCGCCTTGGAATCCATCAATGCTGATCTTCTCCAGAGCAGTTGCTGTGGCGGGAATTGGATCCGCGTTTGCCCTTAAGACATTGGGATATGTTCCATCGTACGTGCCGAACCCTAAGGTCATTTCTGTAGTGGTGTTCAGGATATTTGAGACGTTGAAATTGTTAGGAATGTCAATGTAGTCTGGGCTGTGTTGGATGCAGTTAAGGTATGTGCCGTTTGAACGATAACTGCATTCGTGGTAAGGTACCGGTAATACCTCCTCGTTACCGTCCACACCGTCTGTTTGGGAAAGGCTCTCTTACTTGAAGTTACTTCATTCGCATACAGTACGATAAGAATTTATGTTATGTATGTAAAGTTCATTTGTTTCTTCTGCGCGCATTTTTTTACAACATGTTTTTACAAATGTGGCTGATGCGTTAAAATAACTGGAAAGGCTCGCATTTTCTCGCGTAGCTCATGTACGAGTACTCTAATCAATTAAAATATATACAGTATTTCATTTTTCGGTGTCTTAACTAAGACGCGTTTACGTACCTGCGCTAACAAATGTAAAGCGCAGAACGAGGTAAATTATGCCGTATAACGCCAACATAGTAATTCCCGTTGGAACTGACGCCATCCCTGGATTGTCCGCAGTAAAGGTTTGGTAATTAACGTAGTGTGGAAGATTATGCAGTAGAGTAGGGGTTTAGCGTTTAACAGCAGTTCAACACAGTGCGGAAGCTGTCAAGCATGAGTGTTAGCTTAATGCGATAAGTAATTTACGTTTAATTATGCAACGGAACACAGCATCGTGTGACTGCTAATATTCGGCTACGATGGCTGACACCATCGTATCAGTTGTCTTGTAAATTGTATCTGCTTTTGCTACATACAGTATGTGCAAAGCCTTGTCAACAAAAGGCATAATCTACAGTTTATTCCCGCTGACTGGTGATAACAGACAAAGCGCACATTAAAGAACCATTTAGCCCATCTTTAACTTCCGCCGCATTGATTATGTAACAATGTCACATGTGCCTAATGTGATACCTAAAAAAAGGTTATTGTGAAGACTGTTAGGTATGATTGGCATGATTGTAAGAAATAATGCTTAAAATGCGCTATCGGTTGAAGTTTCCGAAGATTAAGACTAATCCAATTAATAATATGGAAAAAGCCAACCTTATACTGTTGTCTTTCCTGACAAAAGAAGGAAAACTACAAAGAACCAAAAAAGAATTAATAATCAAATAAAGAAGGCAGAAGAATGGATGGATGAACGACGAATGACTGTTTCATACACTCAACCGCCAGTGGGCCGTGATCTTTTCTGTTAACTGCAAAAAGGCTTCACGGCATCAGATTATCACTGCTCACTCTGTTTTCGTTGTGGATTTATGTGCACCTAATTTCTTTGCCGGGAACTGTAATGGATGTCCGGTATTTTTGATTGGCATTTGATAGAAACCGTTTTGTTCTTCAGATCGGCCTGCCAGTGTGGAATACTATGGTGCAGTTCGAGTTAATACGTCGGCCCGGTGTGCTGGCGCGCGCCCCCCCCCCCTCCCGGAGGGAGAAAACGGGAAAATGTGCGCCCGGAGCTGGCGCGAAAAAATGGGACCGGCGCTCAAAAATTACAATAGAAAAGCGTAGAAAAGTGGCTTTTTTGAGCCACTTTTCTACGATTTTTTTCAATTTTTGAGCCAGTGCGCCGGGCGCGCGATCGCGCGCCCCCCCCCTCGGACCTTGCGACGGCCCTGTCCCTATGTATTTGTCAGGCAGCGGCAGTCGTCGGCAACGCAAACAGATACGGTTTCTATATCGGTGCGCAGTGCCTGGGTCGCCAGACAGCAGACATGCCAACTGGGAAAACGGCAGCCGTTCCTGTAATCCTTAGCCGGAAGGCATTAAGCTTTACCGTGACACTTTACTGACTGCCATCATTAAAATATGCTGGGTGCCTAATGCCACCTTTTATACAGTTGCGGTCTTCTCCGGCACCCACAAACATTCGATACTGACTGTTGTTGAGCTGCTGTTCCCTTTGCAGTCCGTCATGGATCCAGCTTTATTTCTACTGACATCAATCGGATACAAAAACGACTAAAAAATAACTTACAACCTTTTTGTGATAAGATACGGCAGTCTGCCATAAACTGTTTTTTGTGCAAGATGGTGGGCTAATGCACAACACGTTATCAGACTGCCAAGCTCACGAGCGCTAATAGTGCCCCTATAACCCACGATGAGATAGATCTCAGGTCACTTGCACTGGTGCCGTTATTACCACCTGCAGCTGTCGTGTTGGCAGGAGCTTTGGTGGCAACACAGTGGCTGTAATCCCCTGGACTGGGCAAACTGGCTGCCCAGTCCCAAAATCCATGAGTGTAAGGTGGTCTAGACAGACAACTGAACCAGATTTTATACGGCCGTAAAACATTCAAGTCGAGGTATGCAAGCTCGTATACCCAGTTGACAAAGTCCAGCGCTTCGCAGCAACGGCAGTCCAACGGCGGCGCTTCGGGTGCATCGCTAAGGCAGCGCAGTCCTCGCAGGAAAAACATGTGCGACTGTCGATCAAGGAACAGTGCGGCGAAAATGTCCTGGGAGGGAAAGACCATCGGGTTGTCGTTTATGCTCAGATGCTTATAGGAGTGGAAAAGTTGAAACGTCTGCTCATCGTCAGGTTCTGCAATCCGGGTCGTTGCTTATTTAGGGTAATTACCTGCAAAAATACTCTGTCAACCTTATAATCTCTGAAAAATAAACTTTTGCTTGAATACGCATTTCTTTATGCTTCTACTTGCGACGAAGATTCACACTTTTCCTAATACAAACGTCTGGAGAACTAACATACGTTAAGTGTACGAGCAACGGGCGCAAATACACTCCAGTCCAAAGCTTCCAACTTGTTCTCCTTTAAATCGATGTTGCTTATTGGAGCAATGGCGCTTGTCATTGTCAGTCGCGTGTCAAACGCCTGCAAATCAATGGCGCTGATCGTGTTGTAAATCAGCCGCAATTCCACCAGCTTATCGAATCCTTTGAAGAGCGCTGCGCTTAGCGACCCCAGCCGGCATCTCTCAATATGCAGCTTCGTAATAGTGCGCCTGATGTTCAGAAGAAAATTCCCGATAGATATATCGCTGCCATCATTGCCTTGAAATCCTTCTAACTTGACCTTTTCCAGAGCAGCTGCTGTGGCAGGAATGGGATCTGTCAATGCAGTGAGGACATTAGAGTATGTTTCATTATCTGTCCCCAAACCCAACTCCATCTCTCCAGTGATGCTCAGGAGGTTTGAGACGTTGAAATTCTCGGGAATATCAATGAAGTTGGAACCGCTTTGAACGAGCTGAGGGAGGTACCGTTTAGCCGGTAACTGCATTCATGGTAAGGTACCGGTAACACCTCCACATCGCCGAAAGCCTGGACTGTTTCGAAAGAGTATCTTGTTTATTTGCCGTCACTATATCTAGTTAATAACACGATACACTTTTGTTTTATTTCTCTGTACATACATCAGTACGTACATTATATGACCTTTCATGGAAAACGCTACACTCAGCTGCATTCTAGCGCAGGGCTATTTGAACAGCTATAGACGACAAAAATTACTTATCATGTAGAAGATTTAAGTACTACGAGAAAATTAATATTGGCTATTCAGTCGCAAATCTGATTAAATTTTAACCACGTTAATTTCTGCCTATGCAGCCGCACAACTTTTGGCATTTTTACTGGAATTCTAAAAGTATTTATGAGTGACGGTAGTATACGGGAAAATTTGGATAATTTTGTAAAAACCGTGCGGGGTTGCCTAAAACGAATTAAGGTACCTGCGCTGGTCCGTTGAAAAAGGCAGATTATGCCACATAGCATTAGCACAGCAGTCCGTACTGGAGACGGTGTCATCTCGGGTTTATCCACAACGATAGGTTTTGCAACCTAAGGAATTTTCCAAAAATTCAGGACAACGTCAATCTGACACTGAATGTCGATATGCAGCGTCTTCACATTTCGGCGGTTTAGTAGTTGGGGTGTACAGTAATTAACGTTCGTTTTCAATTGTGATGTATCAGTATTACGATGTCAGGCCATTAAGGGTTAAGCTGAACCTTCTGGACTGATCATGGCGCAACAAAACACGTTAAACTTCGAATGCGCTTTTGGAGCAAATTAAACAAAATTGTGTAACAAAGCGACGCGGGACAAACAAATTAAGTCGAAAATTTTAATAAATCGAGCATTTCCTGTTGAGCTGCTATGCATACATAATACCGTAAAAGCTAAACGATCTAAAACAGTAAAAGTAAGTAAAAGCAGTAAAAGCTAAATGAGTTATAGCCGAAAATATCCATGGGCGGCGCCGCCCCAACACCCCTATATCGATCCCCACTTTCCAGCAATGTGCGCAATTGCACATGTACATGCATTGACGAGGTCAACGAAGAAATTTTGAGCGGCGAGATCTAATAAAAAGCATTTCCTTGTTATAATACTGAAAATACTCAAAAAAGGCCCTGATGTGCCCTCAGACGGTCACCTGTTGTGTACATTGACGCCTACTTCCGGCAATTAATCAGGTGGAGACGACTGGGTAACAGTGGGTATATTATGCTGCTATCTTACATTTACCAATCGCATACTAAATACCGTGTTGGTACTATATTGGGACTGACAATACCAGCATGCAGCAAATGCTTGAAATAAAGGTGTCACGAAACTTTATTTTGGACAGACAGTAAATTATTAAATTCATGGGTTTTTTGCGATTGCATTGACTGCATTGTGGATACTAAGTAAACGGGAAAAAATATTTAGTCGTCCGAGGCAGCATTATTGCGAATTCGCGACGCTGCTCTTATTTTGCGATGTTGCTTGCTCTGATTTCTGTAATTCACAGTCTAATTAATAGATTACTTGGCTATAGGAAAATACTGCACTTGAGAGTCGGAGGTGTTGTTACATAACGCTCGTTGAATACTCAGTAACTACCATTCTGCTGACCATGGCACAATTTCCCCGCTCCAAATTCTCATTTGTAGTAATACGTGGAATATCTTATGCTTAAAGACTATTTTCATGTGCAAAAGGTAATTAAACAGGGCGTGACTTAAAAATCAAATACAGTATTTTGGAGTAGTACTTACGTGTACTGTTAACTATAATTGTGTATGTTTTCTCATTTTCGAGCGTAGCTGTCTCACGGTGTTGTTCAAAATGCCTTCTGAGAGAAGTTTGTTGTTTTCTGTTATGACTATTTAAGGCCACAACTATTATCACAAATTCACAATTGTCAGCAGTTTTCTGCCCAACATCAATGAATCATATCAAGACGCCACTTCATTACAGCAAAAACAAAGTGCCAACCAACTCTTGTTGACCAAAATCTTATGTGGTACTCACTGCGGAGTGTGCACAGCAAATCCCATAAGTGGACGGGATGTCGTAATCGCCGTGATTCTTTGTGAAGTACGTACTTTCAAACACGCTATGTTTTTACCGCAAATGAAGGAGGCAATGCGTTCATACAATATGATTTTCTTGTAATCGCTTATACAATTTACTCATAACCACTTCAGTGTAAGGTTCAAATAATGCGAAACAAGCAATTGTGCGCGCCCAGCGTAAATGTATCCATTCTCGCAAGTACCAAACGATTAAGTAGCACACACTTCCACTAAATATCTTTTCATAAATAGAAATCGTATGCCACAAAACGATACTTGCACTTTTTTAAATTTCTGAGTCATTGATTTAACTGGCAACTCTCATAGACGATCAAAACTTGATAGCAGCTTGTATCTCATGCACGGTACAACCATAATTATGCAAAATGCGGTTGGAACGGCATACACCACGCCAAACTCCAAAAGTGGAATGTTGGGTACTGCTACTGCGATCGCATCTGTCTGGAACGCTTTGTTTCACAATGGATGTACAGAATCGTTCAGGCTATCCATACCTGCGACGTGAATTCGAATCGTGGATTATTGGTCTAATAATTATCAGTATACAGTCATGCCATCCACATGCCTGCTAACATGTTATCCCACCAGAGCCGGAAAATGTTGTACAGATGGTGGCTGCAAGTCACCATGTGTACAACGTTTTCCTGCTACGAAACCACGGAGGACGGATGCATCAACTTCAGCTAAGTAATTAATTAGTCGCCTTTCCGGCCAGTTATCTATGGATATTGTTTGATAAGGAACCGGAGGATTCGTCATTATACTGTACATATATCTGGAAGTGCGCAAAAATACGTAAAACACCGTCCGCCATGATCACCGAGGCTGTGATGCCGTAGCTGAGGAATGGGACAGTCTAGTCACTGCCTTGCGGCCATTATACTGCTGCTGGGAGGTGGTCACCAGACTGTTTCATTCCCTGGTATTCCAAAATTCTGTTCTGGACTTGGTACTTACAGAGGCATGCTATCGGGGCAGATTATTTTGGTTGAACTGCTCGGACTAACTCCCTAGAGTGAACTGGTTTCTGCTTTGGTAATTATGTACCTTAAAGGAAATCAAAACTTAGACGTAGGCATTGAGAAAATTGATACATTTTAATACTGACAGTATCGGGTTGGAAAATGCGTGCAAGTCGTAAAACTAGCTTTGTGATTTTCACGGCGCAAATATAGTAGTACTGGCGTCGAAGCTGGTGCGACTGTCTGGGAATATACAAATTAAAATTAATTATTATAAAACGAGTTGCTACGTTCGATGGGTCCACAAATTTGTGAATGGACTGAAGAAGCGCGTTCTACAGCTTTCCAAGCAACGGTTTTGTTTGGCTGTGTAATGTACTAGTACTGTCTTTTAATCCAAGAGAGAACAGAGGTTTCAGGCTTTTTAACGTAAAATTTTTAACCGTGGATTAGTGTATCTGCGTTTACGTTTTTTATTATCAGATGGCTGCTGCCTATTATAGCTTGTGTATTACCAGATGCGTTCCAAGCCCGTCGATGTAAGTTTAAACTCCTTTTTTACCGGAAGGCCCCTACGTCACGGTGGCCTGACCGGCATTTTGTGTAGTCAAGTAATTAGTAAATTCCTCGTGCATTTTGTTAATTAGCTACAGCCTACGGTGCCACATCAGGCGTGCCTGGGGTATACGAGGCGTAGCGTGTCTAGCGCTTGTCATTTGGAATGAGAACTGTATTCGGAACTGCTCTACAGTCATATGCAAAACTGTAAAAAGTCCACTCGGAATAAAATCTATTTTTCAAACGTGCCTTGTGCAACCACAAGAAATATTTCATACTGTACGTGACAGCGTCATAGTTTTAAAAGTGCTTGTACAAGTTGTACGTAAACTTCGGTAGTGGACCGTTGATATTGTCGCCTCATCTCTCGGGACTCAGATTTAATTTTAAGCCAGCGATAAGTCGTTTAAGTCTGCTACTTTGCACTATACATATACATCAGATTATAATTATTATTATGAAAGCCGGCAATCGTTGTTGTGAAGAAAACTGGGAAGCGGTTCCAACCGAAAGTTGAACACGGTCGAATCCTGTTTGAGTGATTTTCGAAACTCAAAAGGACAAAACAACATCCGTACATAGAATCGGAATCTTTGAGCTCTGGAGTCGTTACATGAGACTCAGTGATAAGGATATGTCATAGTGCCGAATATTCATTTTTATTAATAATCTTCGCACAGGTCATGCATAAGAAAAAGAACACGCTATATTATTCACAACTGCCGAATTGTACCTGGCTTGGCCACTCAATAAGCAATCAATCAATTAATCAATCAAGTGGTGTAATAAATGTTTTTCTTCTTGAACAGTACCAATCCGTATGATTGTCTGTACTACACCGTTGTACATCTAAATTATTACATATATAATTATGGAATTATGGACATGTACTGTACGGTATATTGGGCGCATCTCTTATGTGTGCGTTTATATTTGGCGTTTTACGAAAAATATTTTTAGAGACACACACATTGCAATATATCTGCTGTGGTTTTAAGGGAAACAGTCTGGAGTATGGTAAATTCGTATACTACTAATTATTATCTACAGATACATCCAGTGAAACTTTAGCGTTCGCGCACTCTGAAACACTTCTTTTGTGCTGGATTATGTCAGTTTACGGGCCCTTACGGCCAAAGAATTAGGTAGCAGTGTGGTACCGCACGATACTGCAAGTACAGTATATCTATATACTGGCATAATACTGTACATTTCCCGTTTGTTGTGCCACACCGGTTAATAATAATTCCGAATCAAAATCAAATGCACTGCATCTACCTAAAAATTAAGCCTCACGTGGGAAAGTGCACGGGAAAGCATGTGGGAAGGTGGAACAGTGTGCCCGCAACAGAACATCATTCAGATCTCTCTGTATCAAACTTCTGGATCAAACTTCTGCGGTCACAAACTGCCTCCATCGGACAGATCGTTTGCCTATCGGATGGCGAGAATTTGGAATGACTTGCAGATTCCAGCAGAAGCTTATCAGAGTCTTGGTAGATTTACAGAAGCTTTGAATCGCGTTGACAGGAAATCCGTTGTGTCCTTGAAAAAGTTTTACCGCCCTAAACATGTGTCCCTGTTGGAAATGTGAATACTTATGAAATTGTTAGTCTGCTGCTGTTCTATGCTTGTTCTTTTGTTTCTGATGACGTGTCTGCTGCCCCGGATTGGGTCTAAACCCTGATTGTGTGCGGACGTTAAATCATTAAACTTAAACTTAAACTATGCAAAACTGATGAATCAGGGTACGCAGAAAATTTCTCGCACTAATTACAAGGGATGAAAATAAAACGCACCTCGCATTACAAGATTACGAATTGCTGCGCAACCTTGGAAGCAAACAGACACTCGCGCACCGCAGTGTTAGGATGCCAGTTTTCTGGAGCAGACATCTTGTCCCATGAGTGAAAATAACAGCATTAGTGAACAGACTGCCATTACAGCTACGGGAGAGATATACTGTCTCAAGAAGACCGTGGACAGATTTTAGCCTATGGCACCGCGGAATTCCCTTCCGAAAAACGGATTATCTACAGTTGTCCTAAACGACTGTATTCTACTGGGCACCGGTGTTGACGCCATTCCATCTTATCGCTTGCTTGCTGGCTTACTTGACACTCCAGGCGTTTTTCCCTAACATGCGCAGCCGAAGACCTCCCATCTTCATTACCCCTCCTAACTCCTTGATCAGATGCACATGACGTGACCTTTAGTGCCAACACAAGATCAGCCATCATGATCGGTTTATACTCGTAAAATTTTTAACTATTTTATTTTAAACCTTGAAAAAAAATGCAAAAGAGCTCGTTTTGGTTCAGAATCGTCTTCAAAATTCAAGAAATCGGATAACAATGTGCGTTTCGGTGCACCCCAACGCGCTCAAACAAATTTTGCATATCACTAATTTGCGTATTCCAGCAATTAGGTGTTGCGGGCCAAAACGGCTTTCAGGCCTGTGGTATAGAAGCACTCATTTACTGAAATACTGATCTGGTTAAAAAGGACATGAAACAAACAAGTGCGAATTTCGAAGTAGTGCGAATTTCGAAGCGAAAGGTTTAAAAACTCCCAACCATAGAAGGTCGAAAAAATTTAAAAATTACATTAAAAATTAAAAATTACATAAAGCACTATTACAGAAATAGCGACACTGTATCAAATAGTCAAATACAAATACATACAACACATGGACAGTCGACAGAGAAAGAAAGAAATACATAAGCATGGGCAGTGGGGGAATTTAACCATTGCAGCGGATGCCAATTAAGTTGTTTCGCTTAATTAATAATATCCGTTGCTGCAAAAAGGTGCGGTGTCACCGTGTCACCCTTCAGGTAAGAACGAAACTGGAAGAAACCTTGAACTGTTTCTCTAAGTTATGACACTTTGTTCAGTAAGAGATGTAAACTCCGTCTATGAACCGGTAAAAACTGTGTGGAAACGATATCGCAAGCCTGAATTAATGCAGCTAATGATGAACTGAAAAAGTTATGTACGATTCATCAACAATTGATTTCATACACCTGCAGATCGACAAAATATGTATTTTTGATTTCACGGTTAATCGTCAGCTGTATGCTAACGGATGCACTTGACATTTACGACCACTTCACTGCTTCGCTCAAGTGCGTCAGTTTTTCTCATTAGCAACTGATCAACTAAGCCGGAGATTTTCGGGTTTCAATGTTTTGGCAGGATTGCATAATTGCTTCACTTGTGTATGGAGTTTCAGTGGCGCCCGGCCAGCGAATATTGATGTCCAAACACATGCTTTGAATTCGATTCTATCAGCAAAGCCATCAAGTTTAACAAAATGTCATCCAGTTTTCCTATATTACTATATAAATACGCCTGGCGACAAAGCGCATTATCAAGTTCATTCGGCTTCAAGTCTTCTGTTGCTCCGGTTTATTCACTTCACAATGGCTGTACTGGGATTGGTGCTGCTGTATGCTCTGGGAAACCTTCATGGCTCATTTGCGGGAGTGCAAGTCAATCCGGTAACCGGATACGACCGCTGGCCCAACAATATCATCCCAGTTCGGACCACCGGAATTACCAGTATGCGCTAACCATTAACCATTTTGCCTGTTGCGGTGATTCTAAAGCACTTGATTTCAGACGCGTATCCCGAGTATCCCGTGCTCCAGAATGCTATGAACCAGATTTCCCTGGATTTGGGCTACTGCGTCAACTTCACGATCTACAACCAGAACGTTAATGCCGGTCAGCCCAATCTGGTTCTGCAGAACCGCTACACCGGCTCAACAACGACGGCCAACATCTGTACTACCTTCCCCGGCTACACCGCCGCTGGTGGTGTCAACGGTCAAGTAGCCATCATGTTCGGCTCACAGACCGGCCCCACCATCGGCGGTTGCCTGGACAATCAGCGCGACGCCATGCGCATCCTGGTCAACGCGATGGGTCTCCGCAGCGAATTCCTGCGCGACGATCGCGCCGCGTACATGACCTTTCCCACCCTGGTTGACCGCAACAGCCTGGTCTCAACGACCCTGCAGCAGTACAATATTTTTGCCGATACCAACCGGTACAATACCAGCGTGGCCATTACCAGAACACCTTTTGACTACAACTCCATCACCATGATTACCGGATCGCGGTATGCGGGCACCAGTACACCCGTCTTCACCATTCCCAGCGGTACACAAGTGGGGCAATTGGCACGACTGAGCCTGCAAGATTGCAATACACTTAAGATCATGTACGGTTGTCCTCCATCTGGTTATGGACCGACACCGCAATGCGTTGATCGTAAGTATGGGCTACAAAATCAGATATTGTTACTGAAAACCGCTTTCTGCCATCAAAACGTTAGTCCTGCAATTGTGCCGAATTTTCAGCTTACGCCTCTACGTCCGGCATCAGTTTAACGCCCAATCCCACTGTGCTGCAACGAACTATACAGTGTGCCAGCAGCTCCGCGACAGTGACTACTACCGGCAACGCATATCAAGTTGGTGCTTTTGTGGTAAGCCTTCAATTGAGAAAATCGTACAAGTGCACGAAAGTTTCAACGTACAGAGGTTAACAATACTTACTACCGATAACACTTGCAAGTTGCAATAGGTCAACGGTCTGCAATGCGATCCCAACTCCAACGCCCAACCCACAATCACTCCAACCGTAACCGGTTTAGGCGCCCGTTTAACCAAATACGCCAACCCTATAGCCATACAGGCTAGCACCGGCCTCTTGGCAACATACGCCGGAGGAGCGGGCACCACCTGCCAATACGTCCTGGAGTTCACCTATCAGGGCCTACCTCTATCGGGGCAGATCAACCAGCAGATCACCGTCAACATCCAGAGCACGCAGAATGGTGTGTCCACCACCGTGGCCGGCTTGCCGGTAACACTGAACCTGAACTGCGCGCCCCAGTTCACGACCGTCAGTGTCTTCCAATACGGGCCCGCAGCCCAACTGGCCTCTACATTGACCCGCACACTAGGCGGTACCGCACCGAACAATAATATCCAAGTCGTACAAAATAATAATCCCAATCCGACGTCATCGCCATCATACTCGAATGCACCGAACCTCTTTACGCCATACATAGTACAGTATAACGCTATCTTTGGACAACGGGGAGCCCTCAACGCCGCCGCGGTCACTCCTCTCGTTAATAAGGTCTTCGTTAACTGCGGCTTCGCGACGGGCGGTAATATTGGAGATGGTGGAGCGGCACAGCTCGCTGGTACTAACGTCATTGGACAAGTGCAGGTACAATTATGAACGTTAAGGTTTAAGTTAAAATCGCCAACCCATCCATTCTCGTTGTTTTAATCGTAACTTCCCGTTGGCAGGCAACGGATCCCGAAGGCGGTAACATCGAATACTACGTGTGGAGCGAGAGGTTCGGAGGGGCGGCCGCTACACCTGGGGAACGTTTTGCGATTACCAGCGACGGCATTCTGGTTTTAAGCGCCCTTGCGCCTTCGCCCAATATACCAACTGCCGCCGTCGATGGACAAATTCCCCTGGACACAAGTTCCAGCACCCTTGGTGGTCTCAACGCTAATACTGGTGCCACCACGGCACCGGCCGCCGCCGCCGCCAATGATATTAATGCCTACCGTAACGCTATTATTACCGCTGTGGATTCGACGGGCGGCAAGAGTACCATACAGATCAGTCTTTACTTAGCCTGTGGTACCACACAATAATCATGTGGCAATTATAATGATCAATTCTCAGAGCCGATTTCTTCGTTCTCTTTGTCGTGGTTTTCTTAATCTAAAGCTATTCGATGAGCGATCTGATAAGTTTCTTACTTTAATCAGATGGATTACCGATTACGGTATAACAATAAAAGACTTTTGATTTCTCAATAAGTTCAACGACGTGCATCGCTCAGTAAATAAAAAATAAAATATGCTGGCGGCCATTGCGTTGCCGCTGTTCTAAATGAAACTATATGTACATACTATAAGTGAGTCACCGAGCACCTGCGTAGTGCGTACTATTAAATAACGATCTTGCACTGAAAATAGTGCAGCCGTACAGAACAGATTTGCAGTGCAGAAAGGGCATCTTATTGGTGATACTGTAGTCTGTAGTTGATGCGGAAACATCTGAATGTGTTCGTAATTGTTCGGGTTGTCCAGTTCTAATGTGGCTTTTAATAGACATTTGACAATGTCTGGAAGTTCTGAATTCTGATACGATTTTTGCCCTTACACTTTCTCTTCCCTTGACGACTTTTCAGCTGATTAAAACTATGTGTTTTTGGAAAACCGTTTTTTTGAAGTTGCATAATTGGTTTGGAGTAATTTCCTAAGATTGCCGACGGTCACCGACGGACCATCAAACTTGCTTTCATCGTGGTACGGGTGTGTAACCCACTCCACTAGGGACGGCTTAGAAGTTGCCGAAATACCAACTTTCGATACCATATTACGCTTGGGGTACAAAGTAGGTAGCGATACCGGGTGCTTATATTAACTTGATTACCAGTATTACCATAACGCAAAAACGTAGTGGTTGGTTGACGTAGTGTTTTTTATTCACCACTATCTGCGTTCGTATTTGGTTGATCCAGCAGCACAAAAATATATAAAAATGAAAGTAAACATCTAACACGATTTGTGGTTAAATTCATTTGCCTTTGGATGTGGCAACGGAAAAGATATTCCCACCGCTTCCCGTCGCATGCGTCTGACTATTAGCGAATCCTAATAAACTATCAAATAATCCGCCCTGTGTCAACACCGTATTGGACGACCCGATATTCCCGTTCGCAATCGTTCCACCTCCCAGGGCGTTCGCGGAACTTCCGAATCCCGATGAACCGAATCCCGGCGACACGGGACTGGCAACCGGTCCCGCCAATCCAGTGGTTACCGGCACACCGAAACCCGAAGTAACCGGTCCACCAAAACCGCCCGCTACCGGACCGCCTAACGCCCCGACCGGCTGCCGAATATAACCCGGACCTCCACCGTACCCATACCCACCGCTCGGATAATATCCACCACCGTATCCAATACCGCTACCACCGTAACCGATGCCGTTACCGCCGTAACCCAGGCCGTTACCATAGAAACCGCCATCGCCGTAGCCTCCATAGCCACCATAACCGCCCATGCCATAGTATCCGTTTCCGTAACCTGGAGCCAAGCCCCCACCGTAATAGCCACCGCCTCCGTAACCGCCGGGATACCCGTGTCCACCACCGTAATATCCGCTCCCGAATTCCGGGTATACGCTCCCGTAGCCGTAGTAGCCGTAGTCGGTATAACCAGGTCCACCACCATACCCCATGCCCGGACCATAACCGCCGTATGGAGAAAACTGAAGAAGCGGCCCGAAGTTTCCGTAATCATACTCTGCGAGATCGCCTAAAGTATCTGCCAATATATAATAAAAAAATGCTTATCGTGATAATTTCCGTACTGTGCATTAACGACAAGCAAATTTGTATTACAGTAAATTCGATACTCGTACGAAGCTTTACCGAGCACATTAATGTTTGATTTCTGCGTTTACAAAATTACTTTTTTTAAAATTTCAGTTATATAGACGCGTAATTGGTTATAAATACCGGTACCAGGTGTAGTAGTCGTATATTATACTTCGTCAAAACGAACACATAACTAGCTGTCAACCAAAGATTAGCAGAAGAATACACATCCACGCATTTTATTCTCAGGCTATTCCATTTTTTCTTACACACTTTACTTACATATATCAGCAATTACAGAGTTAATTTAATTTTCCATCTATTGTATATGATTATGATAGTACTCGTATTTATCCCATGTATTAATGGAGCATCAGTTGTTGATTTCGTCCAAATTGCTGCGTTGCAAATTGCACATCAACTCTTCGCTGAAAATTAAGTGAAATCGTTCTTGTTGTTACACTTACATGGAGATCCGTGGGATAGAGATACAACTGCCAGGACAAGAATCACAGTCCCGATTATGACACTCATTTTCACCGGTTTTATAAACTAAATCCTCCAGAATTCAAAAACTGCCCGCACATAAATTCAAACGCAACGATTGACCGGCAACATACATTTTCCTAGCGATAATATACCTTATTATTAGCCGGATGCGGATCACTCCGCTGATTGTCGCTCCGTATACCCGTAATATTACGATGCCGGGTTGGCAAATGCACGGCATTTTTAATGCGGGATTACTTAACACCACACTGATATCTTCACGCGGCACTGACTTCTTCGCGGCGTTCTCATCTTATTTTGGTTTCGTAATCCGGCCAATTATGAGAAACATGACAGACCGATGTTCACGGCCAACATTCAGCCGGCAAAACAATAACCAACCACAGCCAAAACACCGCTGCCAGTAAACTCCAACAAAATTATTAATAAAATTTATATGCCAGACAACTGCTGTATTTCCAGCCCCAATGAGCAAGCAACCGTTGGATGAAATTAATTAATTTATACTGAGTGCGTTTGTAAAATTATACTCCAAATTTCCCAGTCACTCCGGCATTTCTGTTTATTTCATTAATTTTGTCATCTCCGGAATTGCCTGCAACAGAAAAACAACGGTATTATTTACAGGTTCCCTGCTGGCTGGTTTTCTAACCGATAAAATATCAACAAATTTCAGAATTCATAAAAAAATACAATTATTTTCAGTTACTTCTCAGACATGCGTTCGCTGCGTTAATAAATCAAATCAAATAAGAGCGTATACGTTAATAAGAGCAATAGTTACTGTACTACAATTACAGCAAATCAGGACAAGTGTACAACGCGCAAATATTCCTCATTTAACCCAATAAAAATTATAACTGCAGAAACTAGAATATTATTCAGCCCCAAAGGACGTTCGTTGCTACTAACTTAGCCGCAAACCCACCTTAAAAAGATCCTCCACCAAGCCGAAATCGGCCACTTGGAAGATGGGTGCTTCGGGATCCTTATTGATGGCCACGATGGTCTTGCTGTCCTTCATGCCGGCCAAATGCTGGATGGCCCCGGAAATGCCCACCGCAATGTACAGTTCCTGGTAGAAAAAACGATAATGTTGCCCCAGAAATAAACAAATAACCCTGTTACTCTAACGTATATAACATAACCTAGCATAAACTCTTAACGTATCACATGAACGAACCAACATTTTAAACGATCTCATATCAATAATTATAGCGGAAGCCTGCATAGAAATTTAAAACATATGTCTTAAGATCTCTTCCCTAGAATTCTTGTACATAGTAATGTTCACCAGACATTCTAGCTATAAATACCCAAAGACGGCATGAATACCCGAAGATGGACGGAAAAAAGCCAACATTACATCAATATTTCAAAATCCTAAATTCAGGACAAAGCCCGGCTACCACAATTTGGCTGTATTTTGTAGAAATTTTCCAACTGTAATTCGAAATAATTTAAAGCTAGTCAGCTCTTACCGGCGCAACTATTTTCCCGGTCTGTCCAATCTGCATGTCATTGGGCACGAATCCCGCGTCGACCGCCGCTCGCGACGCACCCACCGCGGCGCCCAGTTTGTCGGCCAGTTCGTACAGCATTTTAAAATTCTCCCCATTTTTCATGCCACGACCTGTACAACAAATTCAACACGTCACACTGGACGCTACCGGTACTGCAGAAAACGACCTGTACAACAAATTCAACAAAATTCAGCATGTCACACTATTCTCTACCGGTACTGCAGAAAAACCGGCCAGGACCGGCACATAAATTAACCGCTTATTCCAGATCAAAAACCTCGTCGCTGTACTTTATAAAATGTATCAGATACTCACCACCGGAAATGACAATTTTAGCTGCGGTTAGCTCGGGACGATCGCTTTTTGTCAGTTTCTGCTCCACGAATTCGGATATGTCTTTATCAAAGTCCGGTACTTCCACTGTAAACATTGAAACAACAAATCGATCAAGTAAAACAAAAAACGTCCCGATGGATTCTCCATAGATTCGTAATTGAGAATTAATTATGCAATCAATATCCAAATAAATACGTATGTTTAAACACAGTAGACAAACTACACAAGAGTGATATTCTCCAAATCGCATCATTATTTTTTAGGCTTGTACCACGCAATCAGCGAAACTTAATTCAAATATGTTTATTGACGAACGTTATAGCCATCGAGAAAACAAACCAGCAGCGAATGCAGATGCAAAGATGCCAGCGAAAAACAGCATTTACACCAACACTAACAATATTCGGTGTCGATCACTGCTCACCTGATTCCGCTTTAGCCGAGCCGCCGCCGGTTTCCGCCGGCTCGAAGGCGGTGGGACGCACGGTCAGCGCCTTGATCTTCTCCAGCGACTTGACGGTGAGGATGGCGTTGCCGGCGTAGATGGGCCGCACGAAGGTGTCCGGATCCTTGATGTCCGTCACGTCCGACACCGGCTGCACGTCCAGCAGGGCGGCCACGCGGGGAATTAAGCCCTACAGGCACAAACCCCTCATTTGTACATTAAGCTGTACGACAATTATTTCTAGCAATTTTATACACATTTTACAACGAATAAATCCAATAAAAACCAGAAAAAAACAGTCTGTTTTTCAGGCTAAACGAAAACATTTCAAAAATTACTCATTTTAAATTTTTTTTTGATTAACTACAACTCAGACGCCAGGACAACAAAAATTTCTGAACGACAAAATAAAAAAGATGTTAAATCGACTAGTGAATGTTTAAAAATTCCAAAAATTAGAAAGAAGAAAAAACTCAAAAATTATATAAAAAAAGTTAAGAAAAAATTCAATAACGTTTCAGCCTTACCTTTCCTAAAGCATCAGCACCGGCAAGAATATGTGAGAAATTAAACTGCTTCTGTGCGGCCACGATGGCCGGGGCAACGCGTTCTGCAACCAGAAAAAAAAATTTAAAAAATCCAAAATGTCAAAAAAATGGAAAACAATTTATTTTGGTCGACCTTAATTCTACAATTAATGCAACCTACCGGGTAAAAATCCCAGAAAAGCCTCATCATCCGCTGCCAGAATCCTCTTCAACCCATTAACTTTGCTCAGTTCTTCGACAGCCTGCAATTGCCATCAACCAGAACCCGTTAAAAATACCCAAAGGGTTCGCCACGATTTCCCAAGCAAAAATCTGCAGTTTTGTGACGCAAAAGCGTACTTTGGAGCATTTACTGCCGAGGATAATACAGGACACATCGTCCCCGATGTCCTGCGCGGCGGAGATGGTGTTGAGCGTGATGGGCAGGAGACGTTCGTTGTTGTGGGCGGCGATCACCAGGGAACTGGCGAAGCGCTGGAACGCGGGCGTACGCTGCAACCACACAACAATTTCGCATTAGCAAGCGATTCCGCAGTGATCACCGACATTGTGCATCAGAAAAATCAGGGAATGTCACCTGGAACGCTTGCAATAATCCCCCGGAGCGTGATAGCATTTTAATGCAGGGGGAATCGTGAAAATTCCGGAAGAATCAGATCTGTTCAAAATCACTCAACGATCCACAAAGTAGCCTCGATCGCGCGCTACGATGAATAATGAACTTAAATCCAAACCAACGGAATTATTCGTGAACTCCAAAATTCTGCTCAAATAAACTTTCGTACAAGGTGACGTTCTGCAGCTGACTAGGAAATGAGAAATCTGGAAAAATCAATTCTAGAAAATCCAATCAAACACCAAATCAGATGTGAGCTAGACTGCGAGTGCAGTCTCTGAGATTGCTGGCTGAGAGCGTGGAGAGCGGAGGATGGTTGCGGGTGCCAAGCACCAACTCTCAAGATATAAGCATTAATTTTGTTCAGTTCATATTAATTCCAAGCAATCATCCAAATCAAGAAATGGACTAGAATAGGGTTTTGCGTCCTTCATCTCTAGCTTTATAATTCAGAAATTGTCTAGGATACCCAAAAAGAAATGCATCTTCTGTAAGGGTGCAACGCACTTCCGCCCCCTCTCGCTAAACCTGCGCACTCCAGCAACCGCTTGTGCTAGTGCGTACCGCCGTACCGTATTCACTGTGCGTGAGAGAGTTTTCGAATACGTACTTCATACTTATATCGCTATTTTCTTTCGAAAACGTTTCTGAGTTTCTCTTTTGAGTTTGTTTTGAACTTTTGAATAATGAATTTTATAAAACCACTGCAATATTCCTTTTGCCTTTGTAACGATAGACCATAATTCAAGAATTCGAACATTATGATTCATGATCTCGGATAAACAATCTACCATAACTGTATCTCCTACGTGGTGAACATGATGCCTTGTGAAGTTATCCTACGAATTCTTACCCGACCTACCGTAGTTCCTGCGTTGCATTTTCTGTAATCAATTACAGTACCTGCAGTGGAAACATATGTGTGTTAACGCGTCTCCGGTGTTGTTCCGGGTGGAGGAAGTTTAGCGCATCGAAGATATCATCGTTTTCCACTTTTCCTGTTACTGTCTGATCACGCTTAATCCGCTGCAGCATACTAAGTTCAGTTTGGATTTCCCGAGAAATATGCCGATTCCCTGTCCGTTATGTCACGACACCGTCTCCTCCAGCGATACCTCCGACCCGGCTTGTCCGCCGCTGTCATCGTCCTCCTCCTTTATTTTATCCTCCGCGATGACGCCTCCCGCTTCGCTTCCCCCGATCAGAGCGCGCTGCTTACCCGCAACCGCACCTACCCTCGATCGCCCATCACGGTCGTCACCGCGTACTACTACCTCCCATCCCGTCACGCCTACAGCGAATACCTTGCGTGGATGGACAACTTTCTCAACCACATCCCCTGCCACCTCTACATTTTCACGCACCACACCATGCTCGACATCATCGTCAGCAAACGCCGATCCTTCCTCCGCGATCGCACCCGTTTCATCGTGCGGGAATTGGAAGAGTTAGAAGAGTACAGCAACATGACAGTGTATCAGAAATTGCGCGATAACGAAAACCGCGACACAGCTCATTCCGCGGAGAACTACGTCATCTGGAATCAGAAGTGGCGATTTGTTCTCGAAGCCATGGAGGAGAACGTCTTCCAGTCCGAATATTTTCTCTGGGTGGATATCGGATCGTTTCGTGATCGCAGTCTGCTGTATCCGCAGCGCTCGTTCCCCAGCATTGATTCGGTGCAGTCACTAGCGCCGAAAGACAAGCTGACGCTGCTATTGGTTTATCCGTTTGTCGCCAATGCTTCTGATTGGTGGGAGGATATCACGGCTGATCATGTGGGGGCGGGGATTGCTGGAGGATATCCGCATGCGTGGCGGCAGTGGATCGAAAAGTATTATGAGACGCAGAGAGTTTTGTTGACGAGAGGGGTCAATGCGGGGAAGGAGCAGAACGTGATGAACGCCGTTGCGCGGCGGTATCCCGAGACGGTGCATCTGGTCACGCCGCAGCCGTATTTCGGTGACCGGTGGTTCTATCTACAGTACTATTTTGCTTGATTATGCTGCGGCTGTCGTGGAAATTTTGCCGGGTAGAAAATAGACTGCTGGAATCACGGTGTTGTTGGCTGTTTCTCTATTTCTGACTGTAATGAAAGCTCAGAGCTGCTAATGTACATGGGGTTCAAGAAAGTTTAATTAAATTTATGCAGACGTTTTGATTGCCCGTGACGGGTCGGCGCATTATTTTGCCCTTACGTTAATTGTGCACTTTGAACAATCCGCACACAGAGCGAACCGGAAATGCTATCCTTGACGTTTACCTAATCCTAATCATTCAGCTCATTAGACGTGCCCACAACATCCCGTTTTTAAATTGTCGGCTGCATACTTCTGTACCTTTACTTTGATAGAAAAATTGTGACTTTTGTACCGCCAATCAAATTAAAATGGTCTAATACCGTGTTATACGTGTTGACGTTCACATTTCTTTTAAAGGTGATTAAATGACTGTAAGCTAGTTAAAAACGAAAACTAAAGCCACGGCCTCGGTATAAGTTATTGCTACAAATAAGAATTGTTCAGAGCATCTGTACTGTAGATGCAGTTTCCCATATTCCACCACTGCCTATAATGTCTATAATTTCGTATTTTCTTAATATGCTCTAACCACTTTTGTTGCAGATAGAGGGTCTAAATTCTGTTGAATTTGAGCAATAATTCATATTTTCTTTGTCCCTGACTCCCGGTACTTGCACGGTGGACCGTGAAAACATTTAGAAATATCGGTTGCGATTACAGCAACCGACATTTCATGTAACAAAATAAACAAAACTACTTTCAAAATTGCACTCTGCACGTCTTCTATGTACAGTTCCAGTGGGGTTCGTATTTTTCCTGTACATTTTCCGGATATCAATATTATGTTCTTCTGTATTCACTGCCCGTAGTATAACTATGTACGCGCTCGTATTATGCGCTAGTATAATTGAGTGTGGAGACCAAATTTATCGGTGACGGAGTTTCGCCAGGTACACAGAACACGTCAAAAATCGGGCATACAACATGACGAATCCGTTCATGTTGCAGTAATATATATAATTCTCCCCGAAATTAACAAGAACACCGTAGCTCCTTAAATGCCGCCAAAAGAATCAACGGATCAATCAGCACCTGTGCGGCAAATAAAAAATACGCAATCTGCGTAAACATATCATTACTATACCCATTGAACAATCCCAGCGCATTGCCCACCCTGCCCGGCAGCCACGTACACAATACCGAGCACGTCAGCATGGTCAGCACCACCAGCGGCCGCACATTGCGTACGCGCCATGACCTTTTCGCTCCCATACTGTGTCCCGTTGACGTGGCGGAGGTATTGGCCACCCGCTGTCGCTTCCGCACTAGCACTCTGTAGGAGATATACGGGAGCGACACACTCATCAGCGGAATAGGCAGCAGGTAGCCCAGGACGTGGGACACTTTGGCCCAGATGGGTTGGGCAGCGTTATTGATGGTGCAGCGCAGGAGATCCGTGGGGCGCCGGTAGTACAGAGCGTCCTGGATGATTCCTGGGAGAAGAAGGGCGTGGATATACACCCATCCTAGAAAACAGATGAGCAGCGCGGTCTTGGTGGTGTGATGCAGGCGGTAGGATGCGGGAAAGGTCACGGCCCAGATGCGGTTGCATGTGATGAGGACGTGGGTCAGCAGGATACCGGCGCCCAGGGTGTAATTGCAGTAGATGCGTAGGGTGCACATTTGATAATGCACGCTCCTGAAAAAATAACGAAGAATGATTTCCCGGAAATGTTATCAGCTTAATTTTACCGAATTTCGCGAAGATCATTAATAATGTAAATGCCCTTAACTTATACGATGGCATATATATATGACTAACCACTACTCTACTACCACAAAATTGCCGGCAGAAATAACCATCGGCGCAAAGTGCTTACGGAGTAAATGACCATCGTCCATAGGTCAACATATCCACCGAATTCCGGGAGATTGTGTGAAGAATGTTAATTGATAAGAGATGCATCAAGTACACATTGAACGATGCCGTTCGCAGCTCGCGCTTTCGTATCAGCTGGACCAGAACCGGCAAATTGGTTAAGGTCACTGCGATTAAAAAGGCACAGGAGAAAATCGGCGTGAATGACCATTGTATTCCATTAGCAACTGGGGACGAAAAAGTTGTGTAGTTCGTTGCATTGACGATATTTGTCGATATCCCGGTAACGTTTATTTCAGAAGGCATTTTGCAATGTTAATTTATAATTATATAGTTTTAAAGATAAATAAACCGTAAATTGCAAAAGCAAGAACCAGCCAGAATTACGCGAGAGATTCGTATTTCGTATGTAATGCAACCGTCTTCTGAACAGAAACTTCTACAACAAACTGTCAAAATTTTATGTACAATCCATGTGTCAAATAGGTACACACAATCAAATCAGATATACATGTACAAGAGCAGTTCAAATATTTATTCACTGCTACAGAGTACAACGGATTAGGGAAAGCAATCAGCAGAACGTCGTGGACACTAAATCAACGTTTCTGCACATTGGTTAAAAACTTAAAGCGTCTGTTAACAAAAGATAACTGATTCCAATATGCTCCCGGTGGATCAGGGTGCTGTAGAATCAGATTACGAGTAGCTATAGATCAGGTACCGTACCGCAACATGGACAACTGAGACATGCGACTGGAATGAACACACAGCGTAGGTGTACGAAAAACCTTGCGATGGGTTTCATACGAAGCGATCGCTTAACAAATCAGCGCTAGAACACCAGCCTGCCCCTCAGGCAGATCGTAAATAGTTATAAGTTTTGCAGGTGTGACCTTTTTAAATACAATCGCCAAGGGCAAATGATCCCCTGCTTAGGAAGCATTCGAACACCACACAACAGCATCGTTATACATTAAACCAGTAACAGTTTTCAGATTAAATAACCCGTTTGGGATTCCTGGATAAATCCACCCACATATATCTTATTCTTGGCTCAGATTACAACGTGGTTAAGCATGCGGAAACACGACGTATCGGTGCGCACTTAAATACCGGTTTCGAATTAAAATTTCAAAACGTTTCGCCGATCATGTGGAATAGTGATGAATACATAATAAGTACATTTAACGAAATCGTTGACTGCCGATGACTCAAGACGTACGTGGCCGATGCACTGCGTCATTAGTTAACACCTGCTTTCTATCATCACCATAGTATTATAATGCATGAACGATCAGAAGAATGGTTATGGGAAAATTGTGAAATTCAGCAGCGACATACGCAGTACGTTACTGATAGTTTTGTAACTACATATAGATACGGCAAAATAATAATTATTTGTTTCTGATATCTCAAGCCGCTACTGTGATGGTGCACCGGCGTAGAAATTTGGGCAGAGCACAGACCTTGTACAACAGTAACTGCCAATCCGCTGCACATACAGTATTGCGTAATATTAAGGAAATTGCATGGCCGAGTATAATATACAACTCGTTTAATAAGGATCCCATAATTGTGAAGTTCTTTTAATCTGATTTAGTGTAATTAGTGTTTTGGTAAATGAGCACTTGTTTTCCACATAGTATTGTAAAAATAAAAGAACCTAAAAACAAACTTTATTAATAGTGCATTTCATAACAATTTCGGCAACTACGGTATATACTTCTGGTCACACTAACAGACTGTCGGCATTTGTCGTTTAAGCTCGGCTCTCGTTCATGTTTTGATTTAAATTACTACCAAACGAATTTTGAAGAATATGATGCCTGGTAAGTTGCGTTCATATAATTATTATTATGACCTATCGGTTTTGCCGCCTGTTGCAGGAAATGGCGTCATTGTTGTTGTTACCGGTATACTATCGACTTCCGAAATTCGATGTAATTAACGCAGCTTTGCGGTTTCGTATCTCATGATTTCAATCAGGATACAATGTTCGCTTTCCATCAGCAACAGTGCTGTCACAAAAACCATTTCCTTGGGTGGAGTGTCAATGCGCAAAACGAAAATTGCCCGTACATTCTATGCATGTATGTTTTTTTTGTTGTTGACTGACCAGTGAGCGGGATTGTGATGCATCTGGTAGTTGCTGCACCGGCTCAAAACATGCCATACTAATTTTATTACCGTCATTCAGCTGCTCGATGCAAATTAAACCTTTGCGTTTACGTATGCGGTCGTTACTAAATTACGCACTTGTATACAAAATTTGCACACATAAATATATCTCTACAATGAACAGATGTGTTATTAATTATGTGACCGATGCTTGTCCTGGTGAATTGGAGAAACTAACATCTGCCATAGTAAAAACCGCACCGATAGCGCAGTAAATTCCAATGATGCTGTGTTGAAACCGATAAGTTTGCTGGTGAAACCGGTTAACCGCAGTGATTACTGATTCTAATATGACGACGCTGCCCACTAGAAACCTGGCGTCTGCGGGTCGTCAAAGCCAGAACTTCGTCCGTCATAACAAAATGCAAATTTCAAGCAACTGCAACTGCTGTACACAAAATGCATATTGGCCTCGAGAGGAACAGGACAGTTCGGCTGTAAATTGCTGTAATTATACGATATCCACCGAAAAGTTAAAAATAAAACCAGTGGAACTGACTCGCATCCGGCAACAACCACATACTGTCTGTACGCGTAACATACGGAGTACAATACAGATGTATGTACAAATAAACATACGTACATGATACATTATGCAAATAAATATCGGCGACACCGCTGCGCTAATATTCCATCCACATGCATTAACACTCATGGTTAATAATACACGTGCATCATACTCCCGTTATGTTCTTTACCCGGAACACTGCTCACATTATACTGTACAATGTGTGTGCATGGAGCGTATCGTTTTAAATTCCGCACCACTTTTATCAAACCCGTACGCATGGCGTCCATAAAACCAGCAATTAAACGCTTGTCTCATCGCTGTTACGAATATTGACATAAGATAAGCGTTTAACCGTTCAATCTAATCGAGTGACTCCGTCTACGAAGCGCCGGTACATCCAACGTTAACTCCATTATGTTGACTTGAATATTATTATCACACACTATGCACCGCGCTACGATCGCCGCGAACCGCCAGGAATATGTCGTGTTCCGCGTTGCTCAAAATCTTCCTACTTTTCAGCGCGATATGTCTCCTATCCATCTTCCTGTTTGTCCCCACGCAAAAACTACCGTTGCTGGAATTCTATGATCCAACCGCGTTACCACGCAACAAAACCATCCCGAATGCGGTGTACTGGCAACCCGCTATCCCATCCCAACTGTACGTGCACTCCGCAACCTACGCGCTTCCCGCGGAGAATCTCAACGGCTACGTTATTAAGGTCATCGCCATTGTCAACCGCAAAGACCCGGGTATTCATGCAGCGATTAGCTGTAGTTGTGTGTGTCCGTATGGGACCTTCCCGGCGCTGTTAGCAGATTATCCCGAACACCACGGTGAGCCGTACACCGCCGCCACTCTGACGTGCGATGTCCGGCAGTACGCCGATTTTACGCGGACCATTCGGATGACCCTACAGTGTCAGATGCGGAGTGTCTCCGGATCCGTGGAGCTCGACGTGGCCCCGCCTCCCGCCGTGGATCCGCCGGCGCTGAGCATGGCGATGTGTGGTCCGGTTATTTTCGGGCAGGATGTCCGTCCGGAACGTATTGTGGAGTGGGTGGAGTATTACCGGATTATGGGGGTGTCCAAGTTTTTTATCCCGGTGTATTATACGAGTCCGTTTTTTTCTAATGTGACGGCGGAAGTGCTGAGGGTGTTGCGGTATTATGAAGATCGAGAGTTGGTGGAGGTGGGGAACTGGACGATACCGGTGGAGATTGAGCGGAAGATGCATTATAACGGTCAGCTGGCGGCCGTCAACGAGTGTATGATGAAGGCTTACCGATATTTCGATTACGTTGTTGTTGGTATGTAAAAATCCGAGATGCGCTTATATAGTTTGTACATATTCAATTTTTTATCTTTGAATAAAGATGAAAATTTTTTTTTCGCTTGAGCACAAAAGGTAACCACATTAATTTTGCTGCACGCGGCGTGTTATAAGCGCCCATACTTCGTCTTCGAATGTGAAATACTGCTGAATGTAAGAATTTGTGCTTGCCGATCTTTAGCATCTTCCGGCGCTATATGCGAGTACCTTTAATAAAATTTTTAATTACCTCCACATACTTCTACGCAGACAACAATAAATGTTACTGTAATGCGTCAGGGCGATTAATGACTAATTATAACACAGTTACTGCAATTTAGCTGGGATCTGGGCTGAAATAATATGTACATATTAGTCAAATGTGACGAACTAAAAATTTTTTTTTAAATTGCGGAATCGGTTTTTAAAATAAAGATAAGCGCTACTATTTCGTGGGTACGAAAGTTAGTGCAATAAAAATTAAATAATATTTGTAAATAACAATAAAATACATAATATTTTTAATTCTTCCAGTGGACTTTGATGAATACATCATTTCTCAACACGGAACCGGTCTGGACGCTATCGTCCAGAAAGGATCCCGCGACTGCGTCACTGTCCGGCACGCCGCCGTCAAAACCTCCCTCAGCGCCACCGCCCCACCCGGCGACATCAGCCAGCACCTCGTACGCCATTTACACCGCGACTCCAAGATCTGGAACATCAACGAACGCACCAAGTACATCTGCCGGCCGCGCTGCGTGCTGGAAGCGGGCGTGCACTTCATCCATAAGTCACGCCCCAACACGCGTCTATTGGTGGGTGCCAACACCGAGGAGACGCTGGTGCTGCATTTCAGTGAGGGCCTGATTGGGGCCGGTGCGCCATTGGTCGATGTGGATATGGAGCGCTTCTTCGGATTAGCGCGGCTCCAACGGTTGACAGATACGGTCAATACGGTGTATCGCAGTATTTTCAACTCCACCGGCGGAGTGAAGTGAGTGCTACTGCCAGGCTCTTTCTCCTTTTCTATTCAAAGTTTCAGATGATACTGTGATCCAACGCCCAAAGATTTGCGTATAACTATTTTTGTTAGAAACGCTGTTCTGCTTTTGACAAGTATTTTATAGTTTTAACGACATCTTTCTGCTTCCGCCTTCTGTGCTGATTTTTTTATTTGTTTTTTTTATTTAGCTTTTGTACAACTCCGCTTTCTCTGTCTTGCACTTTCTTGCTTCTTTTTGCGTATTGTTGCAAGGTCAGACGTTTGACTTGATAGCTATTTATATGCAAGTTTTGCCTTTAGCAAAGGTTTCAGAATTCCGAAGCATACGAATTCGGAATTCGTATATTACCAACTTATAACTTATAGCTGGCAACTTACAAGTTGTTAATGTGTTGACTAAAACAGTGGCTTCCACAGATATATATGGCACAAGTGGAGAAAGTAGCCACGTGACGAAAAGCGTAGCTGGGGAAAGCGCGCAGCTCGAAAGCAGGTGTGTTAAACGGACCCGTGAAACGTTTTATATACTGTACAATCTAGTTCGAAATAATAGTAAGAATAACAATAAAAACGTGGAAGCCACCTTTACAGTTTCTGAACGATCCCTTATATTAAAGGAAATGACCAAAGGTCATTCGCACATATACTACAGAATACACAGAATAATGCGATTCAGTATCCTTTGTTAGCAAAAGCGAAGTATAATTAAAAGAAAGAACTTATTCAAAATATTGTTTCAAAATGCAATATAATGTTGGCGGTCTTTTCAGGGATCACAAACCGGGAACGGTCTCCGTTTCATGCCAGCAAATCCAGTACATCGGTGTCGCCGCTTCCTTTTCACGTTCACAGATTCTCCATCATATCTCGAGCATCAGGCTGCCGCTGCACTGACAACGAAATCATTTTTAGTCTCGAGTTGTGAATCGATGCAAAATTCCGGATTCTACTTCCCCGAAAGGTTTATTTCGCAATTACGTTAGGCATTATTACAGCAGTAAACGCAAATGTGCCCCGAGCTAAGTGGTAAAGCCGCCAAGACGTAAGCAAGATACCGCTGAACTGCTGAAGACCATTCGAGACCCCGATCCCAAGAAAAGGAAGGAAAGGAAGGAATAGTGCGTGCGATGTGCACCAAGACACCCGAGACTCGTCCGAAACTACCGCCACTGTGAACTCTAGCGACGAAGGTATCTTCGTCCAAGTCTGATTGCAAAACGAATCCCACGAAATCTAGTTCCAGGCTGCTGCACTTCCGGCTGCGCCTTCCCGGAGAATTGGTCAGCCATGCCGTGTTGGAGAGGAACTTCTGCCGTTACCAATTTGCTGATACCAAGGACCCAAAAACACTCGTACTGCGCTTCTACTGTTGACCTTTGAATATGGTTATGGTGTTGAGCACCATTTGGGATCGGTTCAGGTGCATTAAAGTTTTAAACCGTGCCGCATGTAAGACAAAAAAACTGATATCATCTTCTTTGCCTATCGAATTACTGCGTTTATGTTCGAGCTTTTTATCTATTGTAACTTGACTTACATTGGGTCATATCTTAATGAAGCACGTTAGATACCTTTTTTATTTAAAGTACCTGTAATAAGTAGCATAACATTATAATACATAATTAAAGTTAACTGACCTACGCACGTTTCCGGCCTATCTTTGCCTGAACGGCCATCACGATGCAACGAGCGGCTAAGTTCTTCCTTGATTATGGTTGCTAGGTAGTAGATGGTTAATGACGTATTATTCGCACGTATATGTATAATTATACATTAGGATAGTGATTTATAGTCTAAAACTGTTAACCCACGTTCTTCGGGATGGGTTGCCGGAGTAAATCTGCTTGGTGCAAAGTCTTGCAGGTCCGGGTCCGAGCTAAGGGTGTCTTAATCTGGGTTAAATATGGACTGGCCATTATTATGTCGCTGACCATGCTGAGATATGCATTCTACAACATAAGGGACTGGAGTCAGGAGCTGCGGTTTGATCTAAGCGGTAATGAAAAACAACCACGGTTTTAATGTTGCAAAATAATAATATCTCATATGCTAAAATTTTAAGACGGTGCTTTATCGTACCCTTGGGTACCGGTATTGTACCCCAACAACACTTAGGTACCGAATAGTACTACTACTAGTACTACTCTACTGAATAGTGCTACATAATGCTAATATTATAGATATTTCTTTTAGCTGCAAAGTCTACCTGATCAGGAAAGCACAGTCATAAGAATGCTTCTGATGTATCTTTATATTTATATGGCTTTTTACTGGAGTATTACTAGTATTCGAATTATGGCTAATTAACTAGAGATATGTGATATTATTAGATGATGCTACTTATATACGACTAGATGCGAGGGAACCCACCACTTTTGAGACAGATTTAGAAAAACAAAAACGTAGTACTCTGTATGCAACGCAGCACGGACCACTTTTATTGGAAATATTACTGTATTACTTACGGTTCAAACAGAAAAGTTGCTTGCAGATAACCAGTCCAGTCTGCTGCATACGTGCGAACAGCAGCCGAACGTCGGCAATCAGGGAGTGGTGTGTTCTGATGAATGCGCAAATAATCGTTCAGGTGGTGAACATCTGTTTGAATTTCCCATTTTAACACATCGCTTACCGCATCTTGCCGGCAAAATAAATAGTCTTGCTCCTCGAATACACATCGGCGGTAATCGAGAAGGAGGTGAGCTTGAAATCTCCTCACTTGTAACCGGCAACCTTACTGCTAACGATAAATACGAGTACTGTAATAACACTGAAATTTTATCTCATATCACTTGACAGTTTCACTGGTAATTGGTGTACCAACAATCCGCAGAGCCACGCAGAGCTACATTAACTACGCGCTGGAGTCGCTCTTGTATAACTTAAATTCCAGCGACGAAAGCGATATCGTAATCGTTGTGATGGTAGCCGACACCGTCGATCTGCCTGCTGCGGATGCATTCATTAACGACATCCGTACGACGTTCTTGTCCTACATTGAGGCAAGCGTCTTGGAAATTCTGGCACCTTCACTCAACTACTACCCTGACCTCGTCAAAATTCCGCCTACGCTAGGTGATTCTCCGAACCGTTTCAGGTAGAATGGCAAACCGCTAACATAATTTACTCCATAGTAAAAGATTCCATCTAATGTATGAAAACAGCCTCATGATCATACTAAGGTGCCATGTAACGCTCGCATTCACTATGCTGTGTACAGTACTGCATATCTATTATCTATACGTATCCCAGATGGCGAGCGAAACAGGCGTTGGATTTTGCTTATCTAATGGCGTATGCTCAACGGAAAGGAAAGTATTATCTACCGGTTAGTGGCACTTCTGTCAATCAGCACGATCTGCCAAATACCTAATTTTTGGGGATCCCTAACTTTTTATCGCAAATGAATGTAAACCGACCTTTAATGGTATCACATGTAGCCACAAATTGAGTACTAAGAAAACGAGATTTATAGCAAAAGCACTTCTTAATAAATCTGTTCGGTTAAAAGATGGATTTTTCGGTAGTAATTCCAGTGTTGGCAGGAGGGTTTCGATTGCCAATTGCAAATCTATAGTCTTCTTTTTTAATTTTTATAGCAATTGTAAAGTACCTGAAATTATTACAAGTAAATGGGACGTGGCCACATAGGTAATAGAATGTTTTGCAAACTACAACGTCGGTAGCCTGTTTTCCTGTGTCTTTAGCTAGAGGACGACGTGATCACAAAACCGGATTACATCCAGGCGATAAAACGTTCTCTGGTAGCAGGCGATGACTTTCTCTTGGCGGATTTTGCTAGTTTAGGCTTCATCGGTAAAAATCCTGGCCATTATAGCTGTTAATTTCATACACACAAATGGGCTTAGTTCCTTGACCTATGTATTACCACAGTTTCTCTGCATAGTCTTTGCATTTTTCAGGAAAACTGTTCCATTCCAAAGAGCTGCCGACGTTCGTTCAGTTTATTATTCTATTTTACGACGCTAAGCCCGTTGATTGGCTGCTTAGTAATTACATCTTTGTTAAAGTTTGCTTGCAAGAGCTAACTGAAACAGAGTACTGCCCCAAAGCGATGAAGAAAGCGATAAAAAAATTTCGGCCTGCTTTATTCCAACATATCGGACGAGAGTCATCCTTTGATGGAAAAGTGCAGCTATGGCAGGTGCGGCAATACGATGCACTGGCAAACTTTGCCTAGATCCTACTTATTACTTAATACTACTAATTTAAATTTTAAAGCAGCCACAGTATCGGCTTTCCATCGGCACAAAAACACTGATGCGCAGAGTAGAATGAACATAGAATTGATTTTACCTCTTGAGTCTGTTCGCGGACAGCCACTTTTGTTATTGTTAGTAATGTTAGTAAGACGCGTCCTGCATTCAATGCCATTAAGACGCTATGCAATATAGGCAACATAATAATATCATGCTAGCAGGTAACATAGACATGCCTTAACCATGACTCAGTGCTTTTGCTGCGGTTGCCCAAAGCTGGAGTTACTCATAAGTCATAAGGAAAAAGGTTGGGAGGCGATCGCGCTGCTGTCATCAGTAAGGAAAACAGCGTAAAACATCATGTAGCGAAGGCCAGAGCCAGAAACATGCAAGTACATGTTCCTCGGCATCCTTCTTCCACAGTCCTTTCACAGCTACTCTGTACGGAACCTACTGTGGTTTTTAGAAATGAATTCGGTGCAATGAAGCCAGCATTACTTTGAATTTGAGACGCTTTGAGCATTCGTAGAACTGTATTAACGCCCAACACTCTTTGTGCAGGAAGGCGACTTCGGTAATGTCAGCTCGTGTGTGCCACATAAAGACAATCCGCCTGCTAGGCGCATCTGGTCGACACTGACAATATACCAGCCGCATACCCTTGAAAACGCTTACCGGGGAAAGACTTTTTTTTGGGCACTCACGCCTCGGGCATCTGATACGTTGACTATTGAATTCCTCGCTCGCATCAACGTTTCATCATTTGTATTTAAATCGGGGGACGCGGACCATCCGGCTGATCAGCTGCGCGACGCAGTGGTAGAGGTCACCATCGATAATTCGCTGACTAACTGGAAAGAAGTGGGACGCTTTCATCACGGTACCTCCCAGGGATCACTAAGGTCCAACGAATTGATTTCGGCCATAAGGATACGAATTACCAAAGAAAGTCCGAACTGGGTGATTTTGCGCGAAGTAAGTCAGCATGAAATACGCTACTCTATCAGCTACAAGAAGGGACATTGCGTTGTTTCGTAGAATTTTGGGCCAGGCTGTGTGCCACACTAAAGATACTCGATATCTAGCCTTTTTTACCTAGACGTGATTTTAGTTAAAATATAACGTGGCTTTCTAGATCTGGATAAAAGCTGTAAGTTGACGGCGATAAGAGCGTCTCCCGTTCCGGCACTTATCAGCACTGAGTCATTTGTCGTTAATCCTTGTCAGCACTCAAATTTTGACCGTTGAAATGAATTCAGCAGTGACCTGGTGATGACCTCTTGCGGAAGCTGACCGTTGACACTAGATTTCCGGATAAATAATAGATGAACAGACAGTAGCATCGTTTCCTGTCAACCACTGCTGCATGGAAGTGCTTCTCAGAATTGCCTATTAGTAATCTGGATTATCTGTAGTTGCAAATATTCTGTTTGAGTAAAAGACTTGAGGCACTGTAAAACGTATATGTCTGTATAAAATCTGTATAATGATTAAATTAGACCGTATATACACCCACATTTGCACAGGAAAGTTAGTAAGCTTGATTAATTCTGGAACAAAAACCACTTTGGTAAATAAACATACCGCTAGCTTTGTTCCTTCAAGAGCCTGATGCTACGACTTCAGTATGGTCTAACTCTTCCCACTACTCTGATACCGCCCTCTTTAACTTATTACCGGCTGCTGAGCGCACAAACAAACTAAAGTACTAAACCTCCGCAACGTGAGAAAACCTGCATACTGTTACCACAGTTGCCTTGTTCGGCACAAAGTTCACAACAGCCACTACAATCTCGTGACAGCTCAAAAATATAGGCATTATCGAAAACATCAAGAGAACAGCACGAGCAAGAGCGGGAACGTTCAGCTGACCCGACCTTCCACTTTTACAATTCAGCTGTTTACAACTGCGATAGCTACAGTATTTATTAATTTATTATGTACCACGTGCACCAAGACACACGAGACTCGTCCGAAACTATCGTCACTGTAAACTCTAACTCTAGCGTCGGAGATATCTTCTGTTCAAGTCTCAGTGCAAAAAGAAACCCACGAAATCCAGACTACTGCACTTCTCGCTGCGCCTTCCCGGAGTATCGGTCAGCCATCTTGTGTTGGAGCGGAAATCCGGCCGTTACAAACATGCTGATACCGAGAATACCTATACCGCGATCCTTCTGTTGACCTCAGAATATGGTTTTGGTGTTGAGCGGTATTCGGGTCGGTTCAGATGCATTAAACCGCGACGCATGTAAGGAAAAATTAATATCATCTTCTCTGCCTATCGAATGTAACGGGGGATTCCTGTCTCATGTATTGGTATGTACGAGTATGTGCTTGGTTGTCCCGCCTCTTGTATTTCCTGTTCCTGTACGAGCGGTTCAGTATATATAGCGTTGTATTTCCTGTGGTATCTTCAGTCGTTGGGTTAGCAATATTTCGAGCAGTATCAGCCGGTTCCGTTGCCCGTTATACGAAATACCATGTTTATATTTTAGCTTTAATCTTTTGTACCTTTATTTTCATTGGGTCATACCTTAATGAAATACGTAACATACCTTAATAATAGTCAACGCACAGCCTCTGCTTTAGCGCGTAATATGCTTTGTCGAAATTAATAACGATAACCTTTCGTTTCTCTTTGCCATGGCTGCAACCTTGCTGCAATGTCCTGGCAATGTACGAAGCGGTCGTCGTATCGGGGTTAGTAAAACTAACGTCCTAAACCCTGCCCATGACGCTTCGTGGCAGAAGGGGATTTTTATGACAAAGTGGTTGACACCTGACCTGAGCGCTGCTGATTTCAAAGCCGTAAATTAATGAGTTTGCGACATCTCTCTGGCAAGTGACCGCACCATTCCAATTCAGCTTTACAAACCAAACAATATTCAAATGATAACCTGCCTGAAACAAACCTACCTATTTTCCCCCGCTCACCGTCGTCTGCGATGCTCGGTATCCTGGTTCAAATTGCCTTTCATTTGGTATTTGGATCCTGCTAACCGTTCTTTAAAATGACACAGAAAGGGGCAAACGTTTTCAGAGTCACGATGCTGAGAAAACCGCGCATGCCAAAGCTATAAACGCTAAAGGATTATTGTGCATTCTGCAACATGCAGTCATGCACAGTTACAAAATTTTAATGTAGAAGTACTGAAACTTTTCAAAATACAGAACATACGAATTATCCGCGGAGCTAACATCTGCATCATACTGGTTATTTGCAATTGGCCTTACGCTCTTATCATGGAGATTCCTGCGGATAACCCTCATGCTGGTAAAACATGTTTATACAAATTAGAATGATTTTTTACTTGCCCAACACTGCGATTTCGTAAAAATAATTGCGGCACTTGTGCTTCGATTAATGGAATCTTAAGTGTCGCCAATAATATACTAGTTTACGATGTACCTATGTACGTAGTGCAAAAATCCCACTCTTCCCCGTTTTTATGCGAAATGTATTGAAGGTACGTCTACTGCCGCCGTTAACGAAAATCCTCGCAGCGCACCCATAACAAAGTCGGAAATGGAGCAGTTGACCCTTCAAAAACTACGGATCCTTGTTGAAGTAAACCCATTTGAAGTCAAGCCACAAACAGCGGAAGCCGGTGCGTTGTGGAAAAAAACTGTGAATATGTGCCGCGAAAATAATGTCCTGTTTGCGTCGGATATGAAGATGCCCACTACATTTGATCAAGAAGAGGCAGCAAAAGAGCGCGATAAAAAAGCCGCCCATTCCCTGCAGGAGTTGGTGTTCAGCCTCATGAAGCAGTTCAAAACGAAGTATCCGAATTACCATTCGGCGGGAGAAGAGGAGAAAAGTTTGCCCGAAAAATGGTGGCTGGTGCGCCAGTTAATGAAGTACAAAGCAGACGCTCCGCAGAAGCGTGTCCCCCAAAAAGGAACCGTTTACAAAGAGCGAGAAGAAGGTATGGCAAACGGGTTGCAGAGAGTAGATCAATGAGGGGTACAGAAAAGCCCTTATTCCACACACCGTCAATATGTTCAGAATGGCCAAAGTCATCACTCAACGGCCAAAAAAGTGACCGAACATACTGCGCCAGGGCCCGGGCTTTGAATTCATCGGGCAGCAGTTTTGGTACCCAATATGACCAAAGAAAAAATACGCAAATACAGTACTTATACGTATATGAAAAATATACAAATTAGTTAGTATACGCGAGGGCATCGATCCTCTCCATTACAACTTATAAGCATTGTTGCGTGTACAGATACAATACATGCCGGGAAATTTTATGTGTGAGCTGCATGACACGCTATCCAGTACATTGTACATCCAGTACCGTATTAAATTACTCGTGCAATCGTAATTTATCCTAAGATTAATTAAAACTGGTATGCAGAAACGATAAAAACTTATCCCCAGACAGAACCGGGATAGCAGTGCTCAGTATGTGTAACAATAAATTTGCAATAACAAATCCAGCAAAACCGGGTTGATTTTTTACCGTCAGGTACCAGCACCCGTAATCCAAATACTTCCGGCGGCAGTATTCTCGCAGATCCGAACAAAACCGTGGACAGTCAAGATGAAGGTAAACAAAGTTGTGAAACAACAACTAATAACAGCTAGGGTAGTAACACAGCTAATAAGAGTTTGTGCACATATTATAAACTCTTAATAAAAATAAAATTTGTTCATGAACATTTTTCATTGTGAATATTTCGCCTCGAACAAGAACGCTGCCTCGAAGCTGTCCATCATGCAGTGTCTGGTCAATGGTCATTTGCTCGATCTTTTGTTCTGTCATGTCTCTGTGCCGTGCTAAGGCCCCAGGCCAAGGGGCAACATCACACTGACGCGCTCATGAGCATGCGCTTCGCAACTTTATGCAGTCTGGAACAGAACCATCGCAGAACAGCTGAAGTACAGTATCTCACGAGTAGAGAGAAGCTTTTCGATCAACAGGCTACTTGCTGATTATGGATCAAATGCGCCTGCAAATCCCTATCGTATTACTGCAGTGCAGGGTAGAATATTAATTTTCGAAACCAACTTCTCCAGTACTCGTACAGTACTTTGTCAATTTTCTTTAAAAAATGTCCGCTGCTGCTGGCCTTTCGTGTGATAACCCTCGTGGATGTAGCATGGATAACGGTGTGAATCGTACTCGTCGAACGAAGGCTGAAAATGAACAGCTGTCTTTGGCAAAGCTGCGGATCATTGTGAAAGTGAACCCCTGGCAGTGCAAGGAAAATACCAAGGAATCGGGTTCCTTGTGGAGGAAAATTGTGGGCATGTGTCGCGCCAACGGTGTGCCGATGAACTACACCGGATCCCTGAAAACGCCAGCCCATACCCTGCAAGAGATGGTCAGTCGTTCCATCAAAGCCTTCCACCGCGCGCATCCCCACGGTCCGCCAGCAGAGAAAACCCCGGCCAGCTGGACGGAGAAGGACCAACTGGTGCACCAGATTATCCAGTGGAAGGCCCTCCTGCGTGCACAGGCGGCGGCCAAGGACAGAAATGAAGGGATGGAACTGCGGGAGCGCGAAAGCGGGACGGACAGTGGCGATTTGACGGCAGTGCAACCTGCTCGCGGGAGCGGAAATGGACTGCCGCTAGAGGCACCATCAGCATCGCGCTCTCACTCGAGTGGCTCGGTTGAACCTTTTGATACCGCATTTGAGTGTAAACCTAGAGTAGTACTTGTAACCCTGGTTATTGTGTACAAGAAACCGCTGCGGCTTCGCCTCCGCGTTTCTTGTGATCCACGGCCGCTTTGAACAAATCATTCCATTTGCAGTAATTCGTTAGTAAATTCACTAACTGCCTTAGCAGTTATTGTAGAACTTCTTAGGCACGGAGTCTAGCTCGGTCCCTCACTCAGTTAGCAACCTTGTTTACTGGACCGCGGTAGTAGCTCGGTCACTCACTAACGGTGTCACCTAACAATTTTGTTCAGTGGACAGTGGTGGTGGCTCGGTCACTCACTAACGATGTTACCTAGCAATTTTGTTCAGTGGACAGTGGTGTTAGCTCGGTCGCTTACTCATCTAGTTTTGTTCACTGAACAGTGGTGGTAGCTCAGTCACTGACTCATCTAGCAATTTTGTTCACCTAGGGTAGTGATTTATTGCTCGGTCATCACTCAGCTAGTGATTTCGTTTTGTTCACTGGACAGTGGCGATAGCTGGGTCACTCACTGCCTTAGCAGTTTTGTTCACTGGCTTTTGTTTCCTTCGAAATCTGGGCTAATTCAACCAAGGGAATCGGATTTTTTAGGCATATAAAAATTGAACATTTGAACAGCAATCATGCGATTAAAATTCAACATGTTTGCAAATAAAATACTGCAAATTTATTGTAGTACATACTTAACACTATAATAAAATAATGTTCTAACTTCTAAGTTCTTTAAGGATTTGTCGAGAAAGATCTGTGACTGTACAGGCAAACCCTCGTTCAGGAAGTTTTTGCGTCAGAAAATAGGTATCGAGATTCAGCGAGGAAATGCAGTATCTGTTCTCGGTACTTTTAGTGACATGGTGGAGAAGGAGGATGTGTATTTTGCCTTCAAATTAGCTAAACGGCAATGAATGTCAAGGATTGTTGTTCTTGTTACTTGTGTAATACGCGATGTAATTCTTAAAGAAATTGTACGACTAAGCAACTGGCATTGCTATTATTCTCAAGGTCACCTTGAAAGCCTTACCGAAGCCAGTTCTGCCGAAGCCGGCATCGGTGGGACAGGTTTAAATAATTTTTTTAAGAAATAAAATGCATGTGACACAGTTTCTGAACATGCTGAATCTAATGGCGTTTACGGTTTTTTTTATTAAGTTCTGGTTTTTCCAATCTCGATGCCTCAGCTTTTTTGTAGTTATATTATAGATCTAGTTCCTTGATAATGGGAAAAGCCGTCATAAATGACGATGTCCAAGTTTGTTGTCGCGAAACGGCAGTTTACAATGCACGTTCGTTCGCTTGCAGATACCGATAATGGAGCCGTTGAATCTGATGAAGATGTCGAATTATCTACACCGGAAAGGGACGTAAGATTCAGGCCTATGCCGGACAGCAAACCGGCAACAGTTTATTACGCCGCTTTAGGTAAGTAATCAGTACAAACCATGTCTGTGTTATAATTTAGTTGGCTTCAGGTATGTAGAAGAAAATGAAATAACTGGTAGTACGTACAAGTATGCATTCTTTAATTAAGTTACAACCTAACTTATCCCAAGTGAAAAACGTCGAAAATATAATAATCCTAAGTCAGATTTTTGTGAATTAATTTTACAGTTGCACGACATGTATCACTTGCACATTGTGATCTGTGGTGCATGCTAAACAAAACTGTACATGGTAGAGTAACAAATCTTCTATTAGTTTTAACTTCTGTGCTCGTACGGTTACAGATTTATAAATGTACAGACTTATAGTGTTGGATTATTGGTAACGAGTAATAAAGATTAAGGACTGGATAATCGTTATGTTTACTCCAGAAAACTGGCCCTCTAACACGGTGGTTCGCGAGTGGTTGTTCGCCCCCAAGAATGTTCGGTAGTACGTTCTGTGTACGAGGCAAGCGACAACTCTTTCCCATCGCTTGAGTAAATTTTATCACTTTCCCTGCTGCATCTTACCCGTGTGCAGGCGCTCACGCGATACTTGATTTCAGCCGTCACGTCGGTTTGCAGCTACCGGGTGGCCCAACAAAATGGCGGTCTCGTTTATTATGGTGTACTGGCCCCGCCCAACGTCGGATGGGCTTCGTTATAGTTTCATTCGAAAGAGCAATGTTCGTAGCATAGAATTATTTAATCATACTAACCGTACACAAAGTTTCAACTTTGTAATGGATTATTTTAATAAAATAGGTGGATTTTGACGGTGTCCCAGAGCCGAAAATTTGGATTTTCCCATTAGCGAATTAAAAATTGCTATTGTTCAGCTTAGTAGATTAAAATTGATCACTTTAGTGTTTCGAGTAGAGGGTTTGTTCCTTGTTTTTTTAACGTAAAGAGATACGGTATTCTGGTCACCGCGTTCGGTCCAGAAACTAGAGAGCTGGAACGCCGCAGATTAAATTTTCGTGAAATCCTCTAGCAGCTTTTTCGAAAATGAATTCACCAACACAAAAAGAGAGTACCTAAATCAAACTTTGCCTTCTATAAATCAAACTTTGCCTTCTATAACTTTGCCTTTGCCTAAATCAAACTTTGCCTTCACAGCAGTCCAACAACATTTTTTGAATATTTTGTGAAAATGAGTTTCCCCCGTTCTCTGTATGACTTAAATGGTTCAAATGTTGTTTGGACAAAATTTATACCTCAGTTTAAAACTTTGGTTAGCTTTGTGGAAATCCTGAATGAGAAAGTGGAGCAGCTGACGGCCCTCAACAAGACTCTAACAGAGCAGTTGGCTCAGCACGCCGATGTGTCGTCTTCTTCTGTAGCTCATCACTCCCCTGATGCACCTCCGTCCCTGGTTAATGTGGAATCGATTGATAAAACTGTGGAGGAGCTCTGTGAAAGAGTGTTTCTGGTTGAGTGTGCAGTTGGTCACCAATGGAATGGGATGGATGATTACATGAAGGAAGACCCCGATTATGTGAAAACTGTTGACGAACATTTTGGAGTGACAAACTATTCGGAAGACATTTCTGGCTTGAAACAGGCGGGTAAAGTCTGGAGCCCAAAGAGGATTGTCCCTGCGAAATTCGGAAAAGGACAGCTTGCCCAGTCACAATCGAAGAACCCTACCACATCCACGAACCATCCTACACTGGCGATGAAATCACAGTCTTACGCTTCAGTTATCAAGAAGGCACCGAAGGTTGTGCGTGGCACGCGTACTGGAACGAGTGAGGGACCCTCGAGAGAACTGACAGAAACACTACAAGCCAAGCACCAGCCCCATGCGGACTTTTGTGTGAGAGGTATACCACGGGTCGAGGATTCGAAGTTTGACAGTGTTAAGGACTATAATGCGTTCATTGCCAAACAGCTGGAAGATGTAGAGTTCCTACAAGATTTGTGAGTGTACGTTCCTGCTCGTGGAGATAGACGATCTTCCATTTGCCCGCATTGGTACGTTTAAAGACATGGCGAAAAAAATTTTGGAACCTGAGATTTGGCCGACAAATGTGTTTGTGAGGGTGGGTATACTGAGTTGTGGTGTTTAAATACGCTGATGTATCCTTGTTTAAAAGCTGCTGTGTTATTGTTTAAAGCTTGATCTGAAATACTGTGTATTCTGGAGAATTGTTGTTGTGGTGAGTGTCTGCTGCCCTTGAATTGATCGTTGAAACTGACGGAATTAAATAATTTAAATAATTTTAAGCACTAAAAAGACATTTTATGATTTGCAGCCTGTCAGGCAGTAAAAAATTTAATAAAATAAGTCGAAAATTGAACAAAAACGGCATTTTTTCAAAAAAGTGAATCCAGTGCATTGCTTCCCCATTGAGTGCTCCATGGAAACCGTTTTTTATGTTGAAAGGAAACGGCCGTCGCTACATGAAACAATTGAAAAACTGAAATAGTTTGAGATCATAGCAAAAAAGCTGGGTCACTTTACATTTCCAGAACAACTTCAGTTGGCAGCTTTTCACGAGCGTGTCATAACTTTTCGAAAATTGTTTATTGATTTCGGTAGCTAATAAAATTTGTAATTGAAAGAATCCAAAACGGTTATGGTACGACAAGCGGTTCAAAAACAGCGAAACAAAAACGGAGACCGCCATTTTTTTGGGCCACCCGGTATAATTGATTGAGCAAACTGATAAAGAATATAGAGAAGAGCACGGCAGGCGAGATTTTATCGCCGGCTCAGTAAGCACTGATTACAATGGATACGATATCAGTATCCCGTGAGCGCCTGCACACGGGTAAGATGCAGCAGGGAAAGTGATAAAATTTACTCAAGCGATGGGAAAGAGCTGTCGCTTGCCTCGGGTAAGATGCAGCAGGGAAAGTGATAAAATTTACTCAAGCGATGGGAAAGAGCTGTCGCTTGCCTCGTACTGTAATTAGATTCTTCCATGTATTTCTGTCATATATTATAGATATTATAATATCTACAATTAGAAATTAACTAAAATCTAGAGTATAGTTTAACATTTTGGTCTACAAGTATGTACTTATACCTGTTCAACAATACATCAACAGTTGAATGTTGCACTGTACAACTGCTGATTATGTCAACAGAAAGATTATCCAGCGACCTTAGTCTTTACTCTTTAATCCTCGTTGCCAACAATCCTTGACATTTTGCAACGTGTACTAAGCATTTACCATTAGTACTCCATGTACTTCTACTCATAGCTTCTGTTACGAGTACGTATTATTTTCCATTAATTTGAAAAATTGCAGCCAACCCCTTGTTGCCGAAAAATCTACGGCTGTCCAATTCGACCGATGGAGGCGGAGCGATTGCTGATATGCTGTCGAAGATTGTTGTCGCCTTGAACGAGTCCAATGAAATTCAGCGCCGGCGATTGCAGGAATCCAAAGAGGCGCGTGTAGCACAAGAAAAATTCCAACGCGAACAGGCGGAAGCGCAACGGGAGCAAGCGGATAAAGATCGCGCGCTCAAACTGCAGATGGCCCATATTGAACAGGAAGCCGATCTCCAGAAATTCAAACTGCTGCTGGAACATTCCAAAAAATAGCCACGGGGAATGCGCTGAGCAGCTAAAGACTGTTACGCGTATGTTGTTACGGTACATAAACTTTATTCGGATGTTTAATCTGGGATTCTGGATAATTTTTTTTCCGTTTTATGTGTAGGAGCGCAGCTGCGCAGGTACAAATATGTAGTACTGTGTACCTACGGTACGTACAAAAAGCATTTTACCGCCATTTATTGTGATGAATAGTTTCCTGTTTCCCGTACAATAAAATCCAAATGGAAGGCACATTTTTTGTGATAGCCATTATTTTTCAAACCATAACCGTATATTTCGTTTCCAAACTGATAGCTCGTGTTTTAATAAATTCTTTTTTTACTGAATTCACATAAGATATCTGTGCTTATGTACAAGCCGGTTTCTGCATAATTTTTTTTCTGACAACGAAAATCAACAATTTACTCTAGGCTCAGTTTCCAGAAAATCTGCGAACAAGCATCGAGACTCACTCGACCAGGCGAACGTCAAATGACCAACTCTCCGAATCTGCTATCACGCATTTCCGACTCCAAAGAAAGTACAAAAAAAATATTTTATACTCAATTTTGATCTCACCTGAGTCTCCAGAGGAAAACAATTCACTAATAACGACCGGCAATTTCCACCGATACGTTCACCAGACCTCTCGAAATGCACCGAAATCACAGCTATCCCGTAGTTCAAACCACCCCCCGCACCGCGCGCCCCAACTTCCCCCAGGCGGTATTCAGCCCATCCCACCAGGGATACGTCCGCATACACCCGCTGTCCTGTAGCCACCAATCGCCGATGCGCGCCGCACTGGCGCTGTGATACCCGGGGGTGTGCAGGATCTCGCACAGCCGGCACACGGAGACATTCCGCGGGTCCATTCGCTCCGGCAACCACGCCGTGACCGGTTGGAAGCGCCACAGGAAGTACGTTTCGTACAGCTCGATGTCGGCGCTGAGTTTCTGGAGATATTGGCCTAATTCTGCCGGGCTGTTGAAGTCCGACGTGCGGATGAAGGAGTTGTTGGGCAACTGCAGATCGTACTGCCCGCGGCCCAGGACCACCGGGACGCTGCCGGCGCTGAGAGCGCGGTAGGATTTCTCCGTTATGTAGTCCAGGCAAATGCTGAAATTTACACAAAAAAAAAGTGGACTGTTAACTGACAATTATTTCTGGCATGACTCAACGTGATCAGTGACGAAGTTATTATAACTGCAAACACCATTGGACCATGCGCACTCGTAGCATACCAGTACAAACACGAACAACGCACATTGTAGTGCAACGGCTTCCTGTCTTAGCCGGTGAAGTGAGGACAGCAAACGTTAAGCAGTACGCAAACGAGTAATATACTGCCGTTCCCAAAATATTTTTATAAAAAATATTTTCGATTTCATAATTTTTATATTAATTAAATAGAACCGATTTCTATAGTTATTTTTAATATAAAACAGAATTCGATACGGAAATCGCTTATTAAATCAAAAATTACAGTTATTTTCAGTACTGAGCGAAGCCGCCCAACCCCTTACCTGTTCTCAAAAGCCAGATAGAACTTGTACTGCCCGATCACCCTCAGCATACACCCCACCCGATCCCCTCCGGGGCACTCTTCTTCGCCATCCCCACACTTCCCGAACACATCCACGGGATACACTTTCCGCAACTCCTCAATATACGCCTCCCGTCCACTCTCACTATTACAATTGGACGCAAACACCACCGCCCGGTTCTTCTTCCCGCGCAGCAGGCCCCGCAGCATCCCGCGATGCCGCCACGCCATCCCCACCCGCACCTCCATCTCCCGCGCGTACAAATCAGACACGACATCCGAGTCCAGACGGTACGACCACGTCAGATTGAAGAAGCCGTCCCAGGGGGACTGGTGGAGGTCGACACTCTTGGGGTAGGTGGGGGCCTCCAGGGAGAAGTAGACGTAGCGTTGCCCCGGGGGGCGGGGGCCCGGAGGCAGGTCGTACTGGGCGGCGTACAGGTCGAAGATGTGGAAGACGACGGCGGAGGCGTTGGGCAGGGTGCGGCGGTCGGTGGTGAGGTGGCAGGCGGGGTGGGGGCAGTGCGAGAGGTCGTCGTGGAGGTGGGGAGGGGGGTCGTTGAAGTAGGGGGTCCAGAAGAGGATGAGCTTGGTGTGGGGCGGGAGAGAGGGGAGGAGGATGGGCTGGGTGGTCCATCGGGTGTAGAGGAAGAGGAGGGTGGTGATGGAGAAGAGGGATAAGATCAGCAGGAGCGTGCGCAGACGAGACTGACGGCAGTCTTTCGGGAGGTATGTGAGGAGTCGAGAAAGCGATGGTCCCATCGTGTGGTGGCAGTCATGACGAGGGACGGAGATTATGCCGTGCAACACACGCCTACGGACTGAAATGAGTGAAATCCGAATCAAATTAAATCGGAAGTTGCTGTACCTCTGCCGAACTGCCGACCAGTCACTCCCGGATAAAAAAAAACAGAATTTAAAAGCAAAACAAAGCCTGAGGCGACCAAACTGAGGAAAGAATTCGAAAGAGTCTTTTGAAAAGACTCTGAAAATTGAATTTTGCAGAAAGGCTCAAAACTCGCTCCAACGAGTGAGTTTCGATTTTAACGGCCTGTACGCATGGCGTACCGCCGGTGTGAAAGTTACCTTTTTCCTTTTTCGCTGAGAAATTCAACAAATGCAGGCTTACTACTCTAGCGGTAGATATGGCGACTGCCGATAGCCGTAGCTAAGTACTGTGAGTACGAGTTACTACCGACCACTTCCCGGCGCTATCCAGAAATAATTGTGGATGAATGATAATTTTTAATAGTCTTAATTACGGATAATTGCTATTAATTATTGTTTACTAATTTTCCAAGTTTAATATGAGTGCAGTTTTACATAATTTACAGTATTTCGCAGACTTGTCTCAATGTTCACCGCATACTGATACAGTACAGTACTTAATACATTTTGCCATGGTGTACAATAAATAAAACAATAAAAACAAACATCAACAACCATCACACTGCGCTTTTATATTAGCTGTCTTAACGGTTCACAGATCCAAATAATTTAAAGTACAAAATGCCAGTCTATCTGTACTAAAAATTACAAAAAAAAATAGTTTATTTAAAAACATAGCCCATGTAGTCGGCATCCCATCGGGGTCGTTCTAACGCCTCCCTCATCGCCCGTTCTTCCTCCGGCGTCGGCTTCCCGACATCCACCAGCAGCCACGTGTACAGCGGCCGGCGCTCGGTGGCCACCAGGGTGTACTTCAAACTGTTCAGGCCATCGGTTTTATACCGCAGATGCGATTCGTTAACCAAATCAAATCTGAGAGGATTTTTCGGGTTGCCTTGATCACTGCCATGCGGCACCATAGTGTACCGACCGGTGTCCAACGGCACCGTGGAGATGTTACCGAATCGCTTCTTTACCCGGTATCCAATATCGTCATCTTCACCGCCTGTCAACAGATAATAAAACGATTAATAATTACATATTGATGTACGTAGAATAATTGTACAACAAAAAACTAATGTTGCTAATAATACCTAGTACCTATATCAAAAATATTATAAGTAATTGTACTACCTATAGCAAAAATAAAATTGTAAAAACAAATGTGTATATCGTATTTTTGGATGTGTATGTATATCGTATTTTTGGAAAATTCTTGTTACAGAAGCCAGAAATAGTGATTAGCTGATACAAAGATTACTATATAGTACTAGATAACAGTTAGCTGCATTATAAACATGCGACATTATAAAAAACAAAATACAATAAAAATGCAAAGTATAATGTAAAAATTTAACTATATATAAATACTGTACTATTGTGAAACGTAAACCTTCAGATTTTTAATTTAATTTGTTCTTCTGTAAGCACTGTTTTAAGTATTTTCGACGCTTGTATATTTAGAAAATTTGACTGACCCCATCCCCAGTACAAATTTGGGTAGCCGTTGATTTCGGCAAAATGCGACACCAGCAGCGTAACCGCCGCCCCGAAATAATCCGAATACAGTGGCTGATAATCAAACTTGCTCATGGCGGCCACCAGCAGCGTCGGTTGTGACCGGCATGCATACGAGTTCCTATCGTCTTCCGGGTAAACATCCACGTCATGAAAGACAAAACAATCAAAACGCCGGGTGGCGTTGATTTCCATATAAGCGGCATTGAAGAGGATACCTGCAGCATAAATTAATATTCATATCTTATAGGCATTCTTGAATTAAGCTGATGGCAACTTTCGGTGCTAGCCAAAATGATACTGGTATTAGCTTGCAGTATTACTCAATTAATTGTAGCACGAGCTATATAAAATAAAAATAAAATCACGTTAATTTCTGCACTGCCCTAGAACCCAAAATTTTCTGCAGTAGGCTGCAGATAATAAAAGTATTATTAAACGATGATGAACTGCGTATGAAGTGAGGCAATAACGTTCCAGGTAAAATTATAGTGGCTTTATAATCGAAACAACTAAAATAAAAATAAATAAATCTTATAAATAAAAGTTTTATGAAACGAATATTTAGTGTTTATAAAGAAAACTTTTATTAGTGTTTTCGCAGCTTGCCTTTGTTAAAAACCCCGGTTCCTGATTGCTCTACCACGAAGATCGTATATTCCAGTTGCTGGCGCTGAAGCACTGGATGGAGATTTCTTAAAACATTTCTGAAAAATAAGCAGAATATTGTAACGACTATATTGCAATAAATCTGAAAAGCTACCATTGACGCAAAAGTTAATAGGTAAATAAGGAAAAAGTGGTCTGGTTACGTAAATGCTCTGCCCGATCCCGGTAGGCGACAACGATGGCTACGCGTGACCTAGCCAGACATTCCGCCGGTTCGTAGTGCCCACCGCGCTGTACTTCCGGATTGGTGTGCGCAATTTGCGCATCGGATAATACGACTAACAGCGGCATAATCTTTCCCTTTAAATGGGGAGATACAAGTGGACACAGCTCCTGTGTATAAAATGCCGCATAAGCGGCGGTGAACATAAATAATGTAAAGAAAATCCCAAACAATCCGCTTAGGCAGTACAATAATAAAATCTTCTTTAACCGGAAACGTGTCATTGGTTCCAAGAAAGTCGCCACAGTTTTCTTCATGATGACTCTGTACTCAATTTACTTAATATATTAGGAAAATACAAAATTTCATAATAAAAAGTTATTTCAGTTTTAGAAATTAATTGTGATTTTAATCATTCGAGTTGGTGAGCTCCACCGAAAACAAAAACGAAGAATGCAAACATAAAATCGTCAAGAGCAATGAAACGGATGCGACATCAAAACGCTACAAAACGAGAGCAGCAGATCGATCTGCGTCTATGTTTCGCTGTCGGAAATGTTTGGCGGACGGGAAACCGTAAGGAAACCGTCGCAGCCGGTTGACCGCCGCTGTTATCAGCATTGTACGAGGTGTACCTGTCACGGCGACATTGATAGCATACTTCTGAGTCCCTGGTCGCCCGATAAGATGTTCGTTATACAAAGATAAGTAATTTATAAACGACTTAGCTGGTATATTTGATATGCTCGTTTGTACAGTAGTTTCAGTACGCTTGAACTGGATGAGAAAGTGGGCAACATTGCATGCACTCGTTAATTTACCGTCGTATACTGTATGCACGACCTACGAGCAGCGAGGTCATTTTGCAAAGGCAGTATTGTACTACAAGTTTAGGGCACCGCGACATTTCGCCGCCGACAACTCGTCGCAGGACTTTTGGTCGCAGACATTTTGCCGCAAGGTCATCTCGCCTTGCGACGCTTCGTCGCCGGACATTTGACCGGCAGGACATTACGCGGCTCTACGCCGCGAGACATTTCGTCGTCCGGCCGTTTCGACGACGAGACATTTTGCCTAAGAAACCTAAGAAACCTAAAAAACCTAAGAAAACCTACGAAAACCTAAGAAAACCTAAGAGCCATAAGAAAACCCTAAGAAACCTAAGAACAACCTAAAAATAACACAAGAAACCTAAGAATAACCTATGAAACCTAAGGATAGTCTAAGAATAATAATAACCTAAGAAACCTAGGAATAGCCTAAGAATAATCTAAGGCTAACCTAAGAATAGCTTTAGAACAACTTAAGAAGCTCAAAAGACTTAAGAAAACATCCCAAGAAACCCGGAAAACCTGCGAAAATTAAGCGTGCCGAATGCTTTTTTGGCGAAGTGTCCGCGTCCAGACGTCTTGCGTCCAAATGTCGCAAAGTCAAAATGTCTCAATGCTAATTGTCCCTAAAGGAAGTGTCCCAGCGTCAAAATTTCCCGCGGCGAAATTTCTTCGCGGCGAAAAATCGTGCGTCGAATTTAATTGCGGCGAAATGTCACACTCCCAAATGTCCGGGTGCGAAGTTTAGTACTAGGCTAAAAAGATTTTTTCCGCTGAATTCAACTTCCGCTTGCTTGTATTTCCCGAAAGTAGATACCAGAGACATCCGCGGCAGACGATTTGTATACACTGGCGCGAAAGCCGTTTGTGCGCGCAACATCCGGTTCGGCACTTATGGCTGTTAGAAAATTCCCAAAAAAATTCATTTAGGTGTACCAAAATTCTCATTATGGACCGATTTTCTTCAAATTTTGCATGTAAATGCACATGGCCATGAAATTCATTTTAAAATTTTATAAACGTGCGAGAACAGTGAATCGGTGCAAAAACGATCTTCGTGGTTCTTTGCATTTACCTGCAAAATCTAAAAGAGATCGGTCCATAAGGACACTTTTGGTACAACTGAATGCATTTAAACTTTCTGGAATTTTCTAACAGCCACGATTTCCGAACCGGATGTTGCGCGCACAAACGATGTTCACGCCCGTGTATACAAATCATATGGCTACAGAATGTCATAGAACAAGCGAAAAAAGAGTTTGCGAGTGCGCGAAAGTGAAAGATGTCGTGCATGTACACCTCTTTGGTACTATGTACCGGGCCACCTCCCTTAATCTACCATATGCATGGTATTGCATGCGTTCGGAAGCAATCCCCATGCGAAACTCGATTGACATGCTGACATGCCGGCCATGTACGTACTTGTTCCGGCTAGACTCGGATGCATTCTCCACCTTAATTGTGCTTCCGGAAGCCTTCTGCGCTTCAATGGCAATGCGACTGTGGCTGTGCGGGAATATCTGCGCAAGAAGCTAAACTGGTGCGTGACCTTTGCCTCAATTACTGTCAGCCCCCAGTCGTCGTGAGAATTCCATTGCCGAGTTGACGAATATCATCCTGCGGATGTGTTTGGATCTCGAGTCGAGAACAGCTGGCGGAACAGTAACGTCGCAGACTGGATGGTTCTTGTCCTTCCGGATAAAATACACGGGGTGTAGTTCTCTCATTAATGGAAAGTTTCTTTTGTTAGGCAAAAGCCACCAATTCAACAATGGTGCATTCGCGTCATATAGTACTCTGTATATATGAAGAAATGGTTGTACCGGTTGAGTCACTAAACTTTCAAAACGACTTTCGAAACGACTACAGTACTGTACCTAATTTGTGTCATGCATATGGTTTCCGGTCGGTCGCTTTTCCAGCGAGGGTCAGCTGTACTCGTAGTCTCAGTATGCTCATCTTCGGCGGGCTTCCTAGACGATCTACGTTAGCTAAGCAGATAAGCACATCAGGTGACCAGGTTAACGACGTGCGCAGGAGACGATTTGTGGTGGAAAGAACAGATTTAATGCAATAACGTACAGGATGTGCCAGTCGTCATTGTATCTTGCCCACAACAGAAAATGACCGAAAAAGTTTGGTGAATGTGGACGTTAATTGGCCGCTTCTAGCCAAGTAAAATCTACATCCAAGAAACCTTATCCGGTATCCGTAGTTAATGAACGTGATCCCAAATCAATCGTCCGGTACGCACTGCTTCCCAGTGTAAGTCCACGCGCTAAAACCAAAATTCATTATATCATTTAAACACTATACAGAGCGCAGTATGGTGGTCATTGATTAAATACTGTTACAGAGTCAGCCTAAGTCGGCTGTCCGTGGGGATCTCAGCGAAGAGGGCGGTTCCGTGAGGCATTCGCAAAAATGGCGATGGAGCGGAATCGAACCGCTGGCTACCGAGTGAGATCCATGTAGCACAGCCACTGTGCCATCGCCGCTGTTGGCGAAGATCAAGATATTTGTGCTTGAGCTTGAGTCAACCAGGTAGGCGGCGGTATGGGCGGCTGTCGTGGGCACAGAGTAGTCTACTCTAATAATACCGACGCCTTGCTTTTTCTAACGGTAAGGTAGTCTCCATAGAATGGGCAGCAATGGCGACCCGCCCCGCCAAAACGGTTCAACTTCCGTAACTTGCGGATTTGGGTACTTCAAAACGAGCAATGGTACCCTTTTGGGAAATTTATAGGTACGGTAGATTATAAAATGTTATAAAGACTTCCCCGTGGCAAACTCCATGGGTTGGGCTGACAGATACAAGGCAAACCTGTTTATTCGTTTTCAGCTATAGCGCTTCTTACAAAAACTGCTCGCTAGCTTCGCGCTCCATCTGGCAGAAGTACTCCAAAAGATAAACGCTTTCCCGGCTCGCGCCAATCCTGCGAACAACCAGCGTCTGGCAACTAATCTTGCAAACAATGAGATAAAAATACTATGTGCATACTCTGTACCATAAACAAGAACCATCAGCATCGAAATTCAACGTGGAAATGCGGCATCCATCCTGCGAACGACACCAGCCTCGGCTAATTTGGATCAAATGTTCTCCCTGATTCGGCCGCCTGCTTCCGCTGTCTGTTGATGCTGTGTGATGCTTCTGTTTTCAGATGTTTAATCAATATCTTCTGAATTAAAAACGTTCTGATAGAAAAAAAACAAGAATCTGAACAGGAACCAAAATAAAGCAAGTGAGTCACATTTAATTCTGCGGTCACTGATTGCAGCATAGCTTATAAGCCGTAAGTGATACAAAATATCCAAAAAAAACAGTAAGTACTTCTACACTTTAGAATTCCTTTAAACTGATCTCAGCATTTTGTGGCCCACTGTGTGTAAGCAGATTTGAATCGGAAACACTCACGCAAAGCAGTGTCAAAGCAAGGTCAAGCAGTTTTGTATCTTGGCGAGACCAAAAGGTTGTATACGTGCAGATTTGTGCTGACAAAACAAAATAATACAAGTATCGCATTAAAATTTTGACTCGCGAGTAATAATAATTACTGGAATTACTATAGTGGTGTGTTTCAGGCAGATGTGTCTACGCAGCATGATAGCACAGAATTTACAGGAGCACTTGTATTTCTTGGGAATCTACAGTATTACTTTGAATTTCGTACTTTGAGTTTACGTTTTCATATTTTGGCCTCCATGTGTTAAATTGAACTTATAATAGAAATGACTAATTTCATGGTAGAAACTCCCCATATCACTTATGCAGAATAAAAAACTATAAATTTTTACAATAACACAAAATGAACAACCGGAAGTGCAGCGGATGCAATGGAGAAGAACGGATCTTCCACACGCTCTAAACGTTTCAACAATTTAGTTTTCAGCAAATTCGGTTTGTTCCAATAATACAGGGCAGCGAAAAACAAATCAAAAATCGCGTCGTGCAATAAGCAAATAAAGCCCGCCGCATGAAGTGCTGCTGGTGAATGGTGAGCAAAATATGAATCCACATACTTCAAATTAGCAAAACACGAAAAAAATCGAATTTTATCAGTGTCAAATTGTCAATCATTTGTGCGACCGAGATACCATTAACCGATTTTGTTTAATGAATTTTCGTAACTAACCACATGCCCTACAACAACGTCCTCAAAAGCTGTAGTTAATTGGAATATATGGCAAGCTATTATTTCTGTGAATACATCAGAAAAGCAGTGCTCACGAATCACAATGAAACGGAAATTCTTAGAATTAATGTTTAACTGAACTATGCGCGTTTCCGGCTTATCTTTGCCTGAACGGCCATCACGATGCAACGAACGGTTAAGCATACAGAATTTCGAGCAAGTGTGGGGTCTTTAAAAATATGCAGCTTCCAGTTTGGCACCGTTGCGGTTTGCACGGAAAACCAATTTCACGCACTATTCAGTAATTATTTTAACTGCAAAGCGGGAACTGTGATATATCCACGCATGTACTTGAGTAAAAGAAATATCTGCAGTGCAGCGGTTGATCTTCTGATTTTTTATGCAATACGGTAACTTTCACCAGTTAAAACATCTCTCAGTAATAACACGCTGGTTAATAAGCATCTAAATTACCAGTATTTTTTAATTACGCGTACTTTCCTGTTCATGGTTGCCTGAATATCTACAACAGATAATTGACGACTCATATACGTTAGGAACTTAGGATAGTGATTTATGTTGTACAACTGTTCGCCCACGGCTTCGGGATGATTTGCCGGAGTAAATCTGCTTGGTGCAAAGTCTCGCATGTCCGGGTCCGGGCAAAGGATGTCCTAATCTGGTGTAAATTTGGACTAGCCATTATTATGTCGCTGACCATGCTGAAATATGCATTCTACAACACAAGGGACTGGAGCCGGGAGCTGCGGTTCGATATAAGCGGTAACGGAATAAACCACGATTTTAATGTTGGTAAATAATAATATCGCGCATGCCAATAGAATAAGACGGTGCTTCAGAGTTGTTTTATCGTACCCACGGGCCACGGGCACCGGTGCACCAAACAACACTTAGTAGATGTCTACCGAGTAATTCTACATACTGCTATAATTAATGACGGAGTACTGGTGTGCTGCAAATTGTACCTGATCAGGAAAGGGCAGAAGAATTGCTTTTTGTTGTAGCTTTATTTATATGGCTATTGGTACATGTATTTAATTATTGGCCAATTTATGGCTAAATAACTAAAAATGTCTGATATCATTCGATGGCGCTGCTTATGTACCGGTAGATGCGAGGGAAACAACCAGATTTTTAGACAAATTTAGAAAAACGTGGTAAGCAAAACCAACACGGAGCACTTCTACTGGAGATATTGCTGTATTACTTACGGCTCATAAAGTTTTAAAGGAAAAAATTGCTTCCAGAAAACCAGTCCAGCCTGCTGCATATGTGCCAACAGCCACCGAAAGTCGGCAATCAGGGAGTGGTATATTCTACTGAATGCGCAAATAATCTTTCAAGTGGTCGACATCTGTTTGAAATTCCCATTTTAACACATCGCTTACCACATCTTGCTGGCAATCTAAAGAGTCTTGCTCCTCGAATACACATCGGAGGTAATCGAGAAGGAGGTAAGCCTTGAAACCTCCTCACTTGTAACCGACAGCCTTACTGCTAACGATAAAATTAATACGAGTAATAACACTGAAATTTTATAATTATCATATCACTTGACAGTTTCACTGGTAATCGGTGTACCAACAGTCCGCAGAGCCAAGCAGAGCTACATTAACTACGCGCTGGAGTCGCTCTTGTATAACTTAAATTCCAGCGACGAAAGCGATGTCGTAATCGTTGTGATGGTAGCCGACACCGTCGATCTGCCTGCTGCGGATGCATTCATTAACGACATCCGTACGACGTTCTTGTCCTACATTGAGGCAAGCGTCTTGGAAATTCTGGCACCTTCACTCAACTACTACCCTGACCTCGACAAAATTCCGCCTACGCTAGGTGATTCTCCGAACCGTTTCAGGTATAGTTACAAAAACCGGTAACATAATTACTCCATAGTAAAAGATTCCATCTAATGTATTGATAATAGCCTAATACTAATAATGTAATGTAACAATACCATTACTATGCTGCGTACAGCACTGCATATTTGAACGCATTGCAGATGGCGAGCGAAGCAGGCGTTGGATTTTGCTTATCTAATGGCGTATTCTCAACGGAAAGGAAAGTATTATCTACAGGTTGGTGGCAATTCTCCCAGTCAGCGAAAGGATTTTTGGGAATCCCTAATTTTTTATCGCTACTAAAATATCAGTTCGGTTATGAAGAGTTTTTCGGGAGTAATTCCAGTGTTGGCAGGAGGGTTTCGATTACCAGTTGTAAGTCTATGGCCCTCTTTTCAGTTTTTGTATTTAGACATATTATAAAGTGTCTGAAATCACTTTGGCACTGACAAGTACTGTACAGTACAGTACTTAAATGGGACATGGCCACATGGGTAGTACAATTGTACAACTTTATAATTAATTTTGTAGCAGTAGTGTCTGGTTAATACTGTGATAAATGTACAATGTGTTTCGTGCATACTACAACGTCGGTAGCCTGTTTTACTGTCTTTAGCTAGAGGACGACGTGATCACAAAACCGGATTATATCCAGACGATAAAACGTTCACTGGCAGCAGGCGATGACTTTCTCTTGGCGGATTTCGCTAGTTTAGGCTTCATCGGTAAAACATGATGAAGTATCCTGGTCGTCACAGCGGTTAATTTCAAGCACACAACTGGGCTTATAAGTTCCTTGACCTATGTAGGGTATCACCACAATTTCTCTGCTATGGAGTCTGGTGTACCCATTGGCGATCTCGCGCACGCTTGCATGCAACTGAAGATTAATCAATATCAACAAGTCTTTGCATTTTTTTCAGGAAAACTGTTCTATTCTAGAGAGCTGCCGGCGTTCGTTGAGTTTATCATCCTATTTTACGACGCTAAGCCTGTTGATTGGCTGCTTAGTAACTACATTTTTGTTAAAGTTTGCTTGGAAGAGCTAACTGAAACAGAGTACTGCCCCAAAGCGATGAAGAAAGCGATAAAAAAATTTCGGCCTGCCTTATTCCAACATATCGGACGAGAGTCATCCTTTAATGGAAAAGTGCAGCTATGGCAGGTGCGGCAACACGAAGCATTGGCAAACTTCGCGGCCTTCGCCGGGATATTTCTTAATACTACCTAATTTAAAGCAGTCACAGTAAGTCAGTAACGGCTTTCCACCGGCACAAAGACACTGATGCGCAGAGCAGAGCGTAGATTTGATTTTACCTTTTACCGCAGTAGACGGATTGAATGCAGTAACAACGCCCATCGAGTAATAGACGATGGTGCGCGAAGCATGCATCCCCATAATCAAGGAAAAATGAAATCAAGCTTTTCTTCTTATTTTAATTTGGCTCGGCAGTCGGCATTTAAAATGGCACAAATCCGTAGTTTTCGCAACAAATTATCAGAAAAACAACAAAGAGGCTGCTCCGAACAAGAGCCGATGCTTATAGCGGACTACCGGAGTATAATGGCCAACTGCGGCAAGCAGTACAAATAATGGACTTTTATTATCCTTGCAGAGGAGCGGTTGCCTTCACTAGACTTCAGACAGTGAAGAAAACACACAAAAAAGCAAAGTATCACAGCAGCATCAAGAAATAATAACATGAAAACACAAAGGCCATTATGATGCTATGCAATATAGGCAACATAACATGCATTAACCATGAGTCAATGCTTTTGTTGCGGTTGCGAAAGCTGGTTTTACCAGCTATATGGAAAAGGATGATCGCACTGGAGTCAGCAATAAGCGAGACAAGCAATAAGCTTAAAATATCAGACAGCGAGGACATAGACAGAAACATGCTATTAGATGTTTTTCGGCATCCTACTTCCACAGTTCTTTCACAGCTACTGAACCTACTGTGACTTTTAGAGACGAATTCGGTGCACTGAAACCAGCATTACTTTGAATTTAAGACTTATTCGTAGAACTGTATTAACGCCCAACACTCTTTGTGCAGGAAGGCGACTTCGGCAATGTCAGCTCGTTTGTGCCACATAAAGACAATCCGCCTGCTAGGCGCATCTGGTCGACACTGACAATGTACCAGCCGCATACCCTTGAAAACGCTTACCGGGGAAAGACCTTTTTTTGGGCACTCACGCCTCGAGCATCTGATACGTTGACTATTGAATTCCTCGCTCGCAGCAGCGTTTCATCATTTGTATTTAAATCGGGGGACGCGGACCATCCGGCCGATCAGTTGCGCGACGCAGTTGTAGAGGTCACCATCGATAATTCGCTGACTAACTGGAAAGAAGTGGGACGCTTTCGTCACGGTACTGCCCAGGGATCACTAAGGCCAAACGAACTGATTTCGGCCATAAGGATACGAATGACGAAAGAAAGTCCGAACTGGGTAATTTTGCGTGAGGTAAGTTAGCATGGACCTACGTTACCCTTTCAACTCCAAGACCGTTGTTTCGTAGAATTTTGGGCCAGGCTGTGCGCCACACTAAAGATATGTTGCCTTTACTTTACCAAGACATGATTTTAGTTAAACTGTAGCGTGGCTTTTTAGATCTGGATAAAAACTGTAAGTTGATGATACGAGCGTTTCCTGTTCCGGCACTTATCAGCACTGAGCCATTTGTCGTTAATCCTTCTCACGGCTTACGACTGGCACTCAAATTTTGACCGTTCAAATAAAATTCAGCAATTTTGCCTAATCTTGCCTAACCGTAAGAATTCTGCTGTACTGGACTTTTAAGGTGAATTTCTACTCACATAACGCCATTTTAAATTATACAGGAATCGATAGAGAATTCATTTCTCTATCTACTGATATGAATCAAGCTTTTATGAAAAAATTGCACACCGTTACCTATTTTAAAAACTATGATCGAGCAGAAACCTTTTACAAGGTTTTAATACTGCGCAGAAGAGAAGACAACTCTGTTCTGACGGGATGGCAAGTTTGCTGACCACCAGCCACGAAATTATCAGCGGCAGCAAATGTTTGTTTAAGAACCAGAAGATACACGCGCGATCATAAATGATCAGGTAGAACAATGAAATTTATTGCCCTGTTTTCATCTCTGTCTCCATTCACCACTGGCGCTTGAGTGTCAGAGAGTCATTCCTGCTCAGCTGAAACAATACGTGACCCGAAGAGGCCGGGACACAACAGGATGCGCAGCACTGGCACCAAGAATAGGTCTGCTGTCCAGCTTAGTCTATACCGTTCACAAAAAAGTCATTTTCTCAAAATGGAAAATGTTGGGCAAATAAATCGGTGTTTTATCCGACTCCAAGTTTGATCGCTCCATCACATGGAGTAAATTCCCATACATATTCTGAACCAAAATGAAGCTGTTCAGATGTAAATTGACCAAGTTATAAGAGTTTGAAATTTTCGAAAATTCATTGCATCTTTGTTTTTTAAGGTATCATCACCAAAATGGTTCAGAATGATCTTAAGATATAGATTTACCATAATGGTAAATTTGGTCGGAGTCGGACAGATAGGTGAATTATTTGACGCGTCCAAGTTTCCAAACTTTTTCCGGTGATAGTACAGCAGCCGGTTATTGCGCGCACATTTTGAGTTTAAATCGGTGAAGTTCAATGTTTTGAGCACCAAAAGCAGTAACGAACACTATAGAACTGTTTACGAGTCCGCAGTGGTGTTATTTCTCCCAAGAGGGGTGCAAACGAGTAGAAACTCAGCTTAAGTAATGATAATCATGTTTCTTGGGACGATCAGAAATTCTCTGACTTACCTCGCCGTGATGTTGACATAATCATGCTGGGTCCAAATGCAAAGTACTGCTGAGTACTGGGTGGCCGAACAAAATGTCGGTCTGTTCCTTTGAAGTGTTGCGAGTCCATCCAGCCTTTAATTGACAGTTTTCTAATTTCATTTGAATGAGCAGTGCTCGTTCCATATAAAAAAATAAGAAAAACCAACATTATACAAAGTTTTGCATTTTTTTGCAAATTCTTTGGAAAAAATGGGTGGAGTTGGGTGATGTCCCGGAAACCCAAATTCAGATTTGGCATTTTTGAACTTAAAATCGCCGTTATTCGACGAAGTTTTTTCATGGGTGTAACTTTACTATTTCGGTTAGAGGAAATGTTTCTTGTTTTTTTCCTTGTAAAAAACTGTGACCTTTACTGGATGTGTTTCGGCCAGAAGCGGTAAGCACAAAACTCCGCACATATGATTCTCGTGAAATCAGCTAGCGGGTGTTTTAAAAATAAATTTCTCTCCGAAGCTTCAGAAACTGATAAGGCTTAAACGTATTTCTATAAGACCAATCATTTAGCTACATTTATCATCCAAATCGACTTATCTGGTTGCAGCCTGTTTCGCAGCAAAAAATTTTCCCAAAAACAAGCGAAAAAATCTGACAAAAAACTTGCAGTTTTTCGAAAAGCTACCAAATGCGGGAACTGCATAGCTCATTAAGAGCAAGCACCATGCCAACAACTTTTTTTTCTTTGAAAAGCAGAATGTTTTCGCTAAATAAATCAACTGAAAAAGTTAAAATATTCAGTGCTGGAAAAACGTATCCGCAGATTCAAAAGTTTGCGAGCTGGGACAAAATAAATTTCCACACGTTTTTAATTAGCACCGTTGTTAATGAGCATGTATTAATTTTTTTAAATAAATTTTACTGTTTCTAGTAGTTAATTAAATTTACTATCGAACGACTCTAACTATTTCACGGTAGGGCAAATGGTTCGCGAGAAACAAACCAAAATAGCAGACCGACATTTTGTTCGGCCACCCGGGTAATAGTCCGTCACGGCGTCACTTTAAGTGGCAACAAAATAAAAATAAAAAAGCACTCCAAAATTAAAAGATTTCTGCCAAGCGCTCTTCATGTAAAAGTTGTGGTACAATATGTAAGGGTATCCAACAATCCACATTAGGTACAAAAATTAATCGACCGGAGCGTAGCGCAGGTCCTCTTAATTCCGTACGAATGCAAAAATGCATCTGTGTCCGTTACGGAGCCTCGTTATGGAAGTAACAGCAAACAATAACGCAAATTACGCCTTGGCAATCCGGTTTACATCGCAAACGTGCATTTTTCTAGTACTGTAGTTAGTTAATTCCTTTCCTGCATAGATTTGCTCACCATACACATAAGTTACCCGTCACAGACTAGTGCAAATACTCATAGTCGCATGTCAAATTTTAAAGGCGGTTGAACGCAATGGATGCTGCGTGTAGACGGTGAACTGCATAAAATATTAGCTAATCTCACAAAAATATGTCAAATCTGTATGTGAGACTGTTGGCAGTATTTCGCACATGTGCCTTGTCTGTTTAGCACATATTTTGCAACAACAAACTCGAGAGCCACTTGTGCTTGATAATTTAATTGTACATCGGCTCCAGCTTTCTGTCTAGAAAGTAGCCAAATCGTTAAAAGTAAATAAATGCGATGTTGCGTAAATTTCCTAACAAAGCACTTCTCAAAGCGCAAGCAGTCTTTAGAATTACTTCGTTACGGATTCTCATAAACGATACGAAGGTACGAACTATGAATGTACTATCATATATGTACCATAATTCTATGCAGTTACACACTTTCCAGATACATTCTAACGTCCCGTGTAATTTAAAGTGTATCGCGCATGTTGTTGCAGCCTTTGTGTGGTATATGTGGGAATAGTACCGCTTTATTCGTGAATCGTAGCTCACAAAACAGCAACTGATTTTGCTGACACTGTTTGTCAGCAACAATACGGACAGCGTCGCTAGGGACAAGCGCGCGTCCTTTGTACGAGGTCGAGGCATATCTCACACTTTGTTACACCGCAAAAACGAAAACTGAAAAATTCGGTGCATTATTATGGCAGGCAAAGCGAGGCTGTAACTTGATCGTTAGGTTTGTCGAAGTTGCTACGCTCTTTTACTCCGCATCCCGACATTTTCTAATTCGAAAATAATTTTACCTCTTTTTGTTTTGTCACTTTTTAGATCGATCAGGTTACATCGAAAACTTCGGCGTAACGGACTAAGATCAAAACATAGAAATGCTGCTTGGACTATATAAGTCACAGGGTTTGAACGAGGGCGTCATACAACTGAAAATAAGAAAAATTAATAATAGCCTCAACCCTCTATGGACTCAAATGCCGTCGAGTATCGAAGCGGTAATAGCGACCCGTAGGTGACGACTAGGCTGTGCTTACTCAGCGCTTTATAAAGTGCTACAGTGTAATCATCCGATGTCGGTCCGACGGTCCGCCGATTTTCTGCGTCCGTTGTATTGGGTACGCGGTCCTTAATATTCCCGGCAAATGTATTTATAATAATTGCACAGTTCAGGTAAGAAAGAAAGAAAAACGCTATCTTATTCACAACAGCAAAACTTCATTTAAACTATCCACTCCGTCCATTGTGCCAAGGATAGATGCTGCATTTCCACGCTGAATCTCCAGCGATATTCGTTGACGTAAAAACTCATGCGATCGACGCTCTCCTGTATGCTCTTGAAGTCTTTTGCCCAACTCCTTCACGATGGCGATAGCCGACGGGCCCCAGGGGCCCATCGTTTCAAAGGCGATGGGAGAAAAGATATAACGCCCTTGCAGATACGCATACAGTCGGGACTTCTTATCTTCTGCTTGTACAGCAGCAGCTCCAGCCGTAACTGACGTCGATGGGAGATGGGAAAAGGCCACTGTGTCAACGCACGTCACATCCCAGGCCAGACACATTCCTCTTTTCCAGGCGAAAGTTGTACAACCGTCAGGGCGTTGATCTGTTGTGGAGGATGTACCGCGTGGTTCCAGCTTAGCGGGAACACCGGCTGAAACGCACGCACGACATACGATGCTGTTTAAACCTCCATGGCGCGCGTGCCTACCGGCCGAGTAGCTGCACGATAAGCCATGGTGTCCTAACTTGTCAACGCGCTTCTGGCATTTGGTACAGTTATGGGGCTCACAAATATCCGCTCCAAGACGAAGACCGATTGAGATTTTAATCGTCTCATCGTCGAGGAGGTTACCGATGTGGGCTGAGGGAAGCGCATTCAACCAAATACCGGCTTCGGGTCGGGACTGAGCGAGAAAACGAGCTGTATTAACGACGTCACCCCGAAACAGGTCCAATAAAACAGAAGCCGACACATTACAAAGCGGCAAGTCCCATGTCTTTTAGAGCTTCCGGAAACCAACTTCTGGAACTTCTGTTACGCGGGCTTTGGTTTTCCACAATTCCACTGCTTCTGAAGTGTTAACTGCCGGAAGGTGAGGAAGCATCGATGACAACAAGTCAGATACGGAATGAATCGAAGCCAAGTAGGCTGGAAGTGCTAATTCCTCCGCACGACGTATGCCAATACCTCCTCGACTGACCGGAAGTGTCGCTTGTCGCCAGCATGGATAGTCATCATGGTTTGCCCGAACGTTGCTGAGTTCTTGAAAACATGAGCGCAGTGACTCGTCGATTTGATAAAGCAATTTCGAATCTTTCCAAGCATTGCAACATCTGAGCACATATATTATCTTCGGTGCACCCAAGCAGTGTCTAAGTAGATACAGTGCGTGGTGGCGAGGAAGAAGTTGTAACCGTTCGCAGGCTTTCTTTATGGCGCTTGATTTTTCGGAAAGAGTTTCACCAATTGCATTATCCAGCACCGGGGCGCCTAGCAAGGTTAGAGTTGAGCTTGACACCACGCGGAGCTGGGGGTCCTTGAACGGACTGTCAAGTAATTGATGACTAGAGCATAGAGGACGTCACTACGCTCGGTCCAATATACAGTACTACTTAATTAAGTGCAGGGCGTTCATCGCAGCTATCGCTGGATGTGGAGAAGATCGTCTTCCGTGCAGTAAAAAAGCATCGTACTCGTGTACGATGTACAAGTACGCACCTGATGGTGAGTCAACTACGTTGTAATCACGGAGTGTGTCGTTGTGCAAATAAACAACCATAATACCCTGAGCGTACAATAGCTTTTTAACCAATGCACAATGACACATCCGGAGCATTGTTTGGTCTTCTGTGAATGTCAAGGTACGGAAGCAAATGAGTGTATTTGGTTACATTTCCTCTGCCGTCGTTGATTGCTTGGAGTCTTGGACATCTTGATCGATCGCAAGCGGCAAGAACACGAACTGGGTTGTCCGATTATCGGCTCCTTAGCATTCATGTAACATCATTCGCGCAGTTAAAAGCTTGTGCAGTAGATATCATCAAACCAACGTTTATATCCAAGTGCCCTATTACCGCAAAAACTGTAATAAGTACAATTTTTGTTACAGTTCATCATGGCATAATTGTCCATTTTGCATCCACTCTTTTTTTACCGCGCCCATATTGTTTGTTGCATAATACATCAGTGTTGCTGAATTGTTAACAGGTTTGACATTGTCATAAAAATCTTTTAAGGCTTAAACCGCTTGATTGAGTACTATAAGAGGCAATAATTTTCAGTCGTTGGCTACTGAGGCGTGAGAAGCAGAAGTGATGCCTTCCTGCGTCGTGAGTCGGCAATCTGCCTAGACGTACGGACGGACGTTCCCATTGTTACTATTCTGCGATACGCATGGGTGCTGAGGCTGTCGTATCAGTGCGGATTAAGCGATGGCCATCCGCTCTAAATGTGCATGACGGACAGCACCCGTACAGCCCCAATAGCCGTAACCTACTGCGGCTTCGCAAATGGATGCTCATGTGCATGTTTTCCATCCACACCCTGTCGCACTTGCAACAATCTCATCTCGCAATGTGATGGCTTACTGTAGCAACAAATGTCGTTAGGAGTCATTAATAAAATTCCTGCAATTGGGATAAGGATGCACGACCGAGCAGCGGTCGTTCCATTGGGAGAATTTGCCGGTAAGAGATTGTGTGTATAATTCGATTAGCGCTGCAAAATTGGGAAGGTGTTTGAACTGCAAAATTTAATATGTAATACAAGTGCCTACAGACTATGCATACGAATGCTAAAAAATCTCGAAGCCAGCTGCTCGCACGCCGCTTTGAATCGAAATTTTCAAGCTGTGGCTGGAACCGAGTTTTTTACCGCCAAGGTGTTATTGCGCATGGCTGACCTTTGCAGTTCCTTCAGAAAACAACTAATGCCCTCGGAAATAAAAACTCAAATATTGCTTGACCGCGTGCGCCATGATAAAGAACAAAATGAAGGTTCTGCTAGAATGGATCGAATTCTATCGCATCCAAGGCGTGGAATACTTCAACTTCTTCGACGACGAGAGTAGCGAAGATGTGTATCTGCTGCCGCGGTTATACGAATCACTGGGCTATCCCGATTTGGTGGAGATTATCCCTCAGAACTTTCGCCGCCGCAGCCGCCCCGGCGACCACTCCTACACGGATCACGACCAAGGACAGTGGCAGGCGCTGAACCACTACAACAGTCGTCTGCGCGGCGTCAGCGAGTGGATGCTGGTCTGCGATGTGGACGAGTTCATGTTCTCGCCCCGGCACCACACTATCGCCGCCTTTCTCCGCAGCCAAACCGACGAAGTCAGTCAGTACAGCGTAAAGGTCATTCGCTTTGGGTTCAATAATGTGCAACGGAAGAACCGGGTTCGATTGTCACTGAATGCGTGTAACGGTCACGTCATCGTTATGCACGAGGTCTTCAACGAAGACCTACTGCTGACGTCACGAAATCCCAAGCGGGCACCGTTTCCTGATATTGATACAGATTTTCAACAGCGATTGGACGCGATTTGCGCTCCAACAGGGAAAGGTCAGGGGTGTGGGCATGCGGTGGGGAAATCGATCTGGCGACCGGATCACTGTGGACTGGCGTCCGTGCATTCATGTGGTGAGGATCCGCTAGAAGGCACAGTGTATCCCTCTTTGGACATTCTGCGAATTAATCACTATGCGTTCCAGTCGAAAGAGCATATGGATAATCAGCCCAAGCACCAGATGGGAACGATAAAAGGGTCAGCGTCGGATAAGCCTCGCGGCAGATTTATGCCTAATATCTTGAATCTCCGTGATTGTGTTCTCCAGCCAGTCTTAGTAAAACTAATAAAGTTAACCTCTGCAACAAACGTCACAGTGTTTTCCGTTCATCGATCCGAATGACAGTCAATAAGTTCGTTTAAGCTGACCGGAGAAAACTTTTCGAACCGTAATTGACTTGGGAGGAAACGCATTCAGTTTCGCGTTGCTGATGTCTGTTGACGCACTTTCATATTGTTTATGTCGTTTTTAAGGAAAACTTACAGGTGCATGGCACTTACCAAATCTATCAGTTGAAATTAAGTAAAATTATCGCACTTAAAATTATATGCTGCGGTTATAAATTACAAAATAAAAAAATTATGTTGGTACAGTTATCTTAAATATTTCATCCTGAGGAAACTGAATGTTTTATAAGTATGTACCAAACATCCACAAAAAGAGGAATTTTATTCGTAGAACATGTTTTCCACGACTACGTAGTACGAGACTACGAGTATAACGCCGCGTTAAACGCAGGGCGTTGTGAAAAGAACAATATATAGATACGTGTACGTGTATGACATTGTAATGAATGCATTACACAACATCGGAAAATCACAGTCATAACATCAAAACCACTTCTTACACTTTTTAAAAATTGCCGTAATTACGAGTACCATGTCGCCAACAGAGCAAGAGTTGCAGGCACGCTGTCAGTAAACGCAGCATGTGTTATTGCGCATATGGGATGTCAGGGATAATGGCGAGACACTTACAATAAATGTTTTCTGCGTTTTTTTGCAAATGTAATTTTAGATTCGGTTTTATCGTCATTTTGTACGTCAAAAACTCGTGTTTCGAAGAACTTTCACGCGATGTTAACCAGAACAGTCGTTTTCGTCGTTTTGGTGTTTCGTGCAATACTGATACTGAGGATAATACAGGGGCTGCAGCAGTACAGGCCGAGCAGAGCAAGATCGAGAAATATCGTGATATCGGGCAGGACTACGTGTTTCGTGCTCTTGGATTTGAGACACTCGGACCACCCGGACCGGATGCTGTCCGCACGATAACGGAATTCGGCCAGATGATACGACAGGAAACCGGCGAAAAACGAGCCACGGAATTTCTTCGCCAGCGGATAAGCATCGAAATCCAACGAGGAAATGCGGCATCGATCTTAGCGACAGCACCACAAGGGGCAAATTTAGACCCAATTTTCTCTGTGATCAGGCCGCCTTTGTCGGTTGATGCTTAACGTGATCGTTTCTGAAGTTAATGTGAAATTTTTCTGTGAAATTGACAATAATAATAAATAGTCGCTACAGTAAAAAAACTAATACAGTAATAACAATGTCCATCGTATAGAAGTACGTATGCTAACAAACCGGAGACGGTTTTTACACGTACGACGTACTGTAAGTAAGTATTGTTAACTTTGTATCTGCAAAACAACCCCAGAAAATAAAAAGCTGTAAAGATTTTTGCCTGCATACAGGCAAAAAAACACCCTGTTCTTAAATCCCCGCCAGAATCCAGCTGATCAACAATAATAAAAAGTGGTCCTGACTAACTTCATCAGTCCCTACCAACAGTTTCTGACTAATTTTATTTTAAATATAAAAATTTTTAAACTATGTTTTTGGTTTTGACTCTGTTAAATAAAGTTAATGTTAGTTAATTAGGCACAGCCGCACATGCACTTAAGCATAATTAAGCATTTAATTCAGTAGCGTTTCCGCCTCTACTGCACGCCGCTGCTCCGGCTCGCGTGCAACACTAATTATGCGATGTACCGTCTTCTACGCAGCCCACGGATTAGGACATTCTTGCTGTCAGGTGAATAAGTAAATTAATGGCTGGAATCCGTTTTATTTACTGTCGAGGTGCGCAGAACTTTGAGTGTTTTAGAATTGTAAAGCAGAATGCCGAATGAGTTCGAGTTTGTATTAGTAGTTAGCCCATTCCATCGGCCGGAGCATATTTCGAGTAAGTATACGTAAGTTGTATAACTGCCGTATGTACCGCCAAAATTGTTGTTTCCAAGCTGCCAGTAAGCTGTAGCGGACCCGGTTCGGTGCGGCATATCACGGCACTAGATAACTGATTTAATATTTTAACGCTAATGGCATCTAGCGGTACTTCAGTACCACGCACTTAGAGCAACGCACATAAACAGGTACGGTGCCGTTTCTAGCCTTTTTGTACAATACTGAACTGCCGTATACCGACCCGCCATGCCTTCGCTCGGTTCAGTAAATTCATCTGATTATCGTTGACAGCTAGCTCCACTTAATTGTTGGCAGTCGCAACGTGCGTGGCAGTAGCAACGGTATAGCATCGCCGAACATGGCGTTTGTATCCAGCTCAGGAATAGCTCTATGGACAGTTGTGAAACAATCTCGGGCGTTTCAGATCATTCTCTTCATCCTGCTACCGTTACTGGTCATCCTGCAGTTCTCGTCGTATGACGTCACCGGTATTCGCAGCATTACGGTGCCGTTCTTCCAGTCCACTACCACCGTTAAAAACGCCGCGTACCAGCGCTTAATACAAGGGGATAGCGCAGCGGCAACCGGCTTCCAGGGCGACATGTCCCTGTATTCCTTGACGGTGTGCGCGATGGTACATAACGAGATTCCCTATCTCATCGAATGGATCGAGTTCCACCGTCTGCAGGGTGCAGATCATTTTGTTCTATACAACTATTTCAGCCGCGATCTCGTAGAGTACATTCCGTTGCTGTACGAATCCCGCAACGCTAACGTGACCATCCGGGTGCTACCGGCACGGTTTTTCGGGAAGAACCAGGAGAGTAGCGACTATTCAGGAACGTCCACATTAGCCATGGTCGACTGCTACATTCGCTATCGCAGCCAGTCGGATTGGCTGCTCTTCACGACCGCTGGACATTTTACTTATTCCAATAAGTATGACTCCATCGAGGAGTTTCTGGAGAAAGACGGTGCGGACGCCACAGCCATCCAGATCGCCAGCGTCAAGTTCGGCACTTCGGGTCAGCAAAATATCTTTCGCTCCTGGGTATCGCCCGATTCATATTCCGGGGGTGTGGATCTTTTATATGAGCCGTGGGGCAATTCTTCCGATACATATCCACTGGTTCTGACTACAAACACTCGGCGGGCACCGCATCGGAATCTGGATGATAAGTTCGAAGACGTGGAAGCGTGTAAAGACAGCGATAAAAAGGTACTGTCATACTGCCGGTTCCTTGATCGTGATGTAATGCAGGCCGCGAGCATGCACCGCTTACAAAGGGAATGCCACGCTACTGGGACGCAAATTCATGAGTATCTGCTAAAAATTTCACTTTGCGCACTTTGAAACACTTTTTTGTATCAGTGTAAAACCAAACGATTTGTTCACAACTTCACACTGATGGTGAAATATGGAGGATTAATTGGCAAACAGGTTTAACGCAGTGCTGTGCATCTGAATTCATGTATTATCCGATCCTTTTCGAACTTTGCTTCAATTAAAGGCACATAACAATGAGCTCAAATCACAACCAGAACCACATACAACTACATACAAGCACAGCGTTCTTCTAAAATGTAAAATGATTTTAAAATAGTATGAAGGCTGCTTTCAGATTTGAACCTTATTAAAAATACTTTTAAGCTGATTTCGATTCACATTTCAAGTGAAAGTGAAACGTCTGCTGTAGCAATTAAACATGAATTTGGTTATAATTTGTATGCACCGAACCTTTTCCCTTATTATCTTATTGACACTGGTATAAACCTCACCTTAATCGGTATAATTTTGACGATAAAGATCAAACTTGCACGAAAATAACATACGCGGTATGGCCTATACTTCCAACTTATGTGAAATTGAAGGACATGAAATTGAAGGACATCATCCGCAGTTTGAGGTTCAGTATAAAAAAGGCGCAGATACGATTCCCTGAATACTACGGTACACGTCCAGACTCCAGACCATACGTGGTATTGTCAACCTACCGCGAATGTATGAGGCTATAATACCAGGAAAAGCATTCCACTTTTAATTACATGAATATTTTTTGATGTTTTTTCTGTTTTGGCAGAGGCCCGTGGCATGTAGCGAATCGAGCAGTGTGACGTTGATTAGCGGTCGGCGCTACTGTGACCGCTCCAACATTACGGAATGCCTGTCGCCCCGGATGAATGTCCTCACTCCCAGCATGGACGCTCTGCGCGCCGACGATCACACATGGCGTTCCACCAGTCATGTCCAACGGTTGATCGAGCTGGGAGTGGCCACATCTAGCCAATCCCAAGTGCTGGACGACACCTGGTATTCTCGCATTCCCGACGGTCGAAAGAGTGAAAAATACGGCGCGAAGGTCGCCGAAGCTGTTCAAGCGTTGAAACCCAAAATCTTTCTGGAAGTAGGACGGGAGTGTGATGCCGGTGCCCTGCAGAGGGGTCAGCAGATGTTGTGCCCGGCGACACATCCCTTTCCTTACGGAATATTTGGTGTCCGGTACTTGCGGAACTGCTGTAAATTCGACAGGGATTGGGGAAACAATACCATGACCATACAGTCCGGAAGTTGCCTGAATGACTCACATATCGAGTGCAATGAGCCCGTGGGGACCACGCGGTGGCTGCATCGCAGTTGTTGTGTATATACCGAAAAGGATGCGCAGACACATCCCATCATCAGTGTTGAGAAAAAGACGCGCTGATGCCGCGCGATAATGCTAGCAATTAAGAGCATCTGATGACGAATTTTAACCCCGGTCTTCAGTAAACTGGTTTCGGGTTAGTTCATCTCTGCCCGGTTTGTCATAAAATATTTGTGAATACCCTTTACTTAGTTAGTAATTTTCTCCACATGGTAATTTAAGTACGCAGCTTTAAAATATAAATCCAACTGAATAAGCAACAGTTTCTATACCAGCCGATGTGCCCCCAATTTTCTAAAAATAACGTAAGTACAAATTATGCCATCATAAATATCATTCGGAATTATCTACGGAATTATCTATTTATTGATAATTACCAGTTTGTCATGGTAGCAGATAGCACTTGTACAGTTGTCGTGAGATCTGACTACAGTAACGTTTTATGTAACACTGTCTACCATAATATGTAATACTGTCTAAGTAAATCTATGTAGTCCAGAGTAAGTAGTACTAAGTACCACAAATCTGGAGTAGCTGAGTAAAGGAGATATTATGCGGAGCCCAAATACATAGTTATTGCAATACATCAGTCGGCGTTGTAGCTGAATCAGCCTGAATGGTAAGCATCACAAGTACACAGCATCAAAAATCACACACCTAAAGTGCATTACACCAAAGTTGATGTTTTAATAATAATAAAAATCAGACGCCGTTTGTAGAATCCACAAGCTACGAAATCGGCTGCAGTGGTTTTACTGCATAATGTACTCTATTTAAATAAGTGAATAATGATCAGGTGCATCTTCAACAAATGTTAATTCTTAAAATTCACGGAACACTCCGCAGCATACGAAGCGGTATGTGTACCTGGGGAAAAACTGTCATGCAATCCTTCTTATTTGGACGCGGTTTAAGGCACGGCCATTTTATAGCTGCCGCACCGTTTTTATACGCAGATCTTTCCGTTATTAATATCCCATAGCATAAATCCACATTTAATTACACCACACGCTGTATGCAGTCCACCACAATTATTTCCCGTTATTTTCACGCTTGCTTGTAAGGGTTCCCTTAGCCCTGTATCCGCTTCACTAGCGTCGGCGGAAGCGTCGTTGTAGCTATCCAGCAGCTTACGATTAGGATATTCATCCAATAATATCCGCAAGACTACTCGTATTTCTGCCGTTTTTCAAATTTTCTTTCCCACTTGCCACGGCCGCCCTCCTCCTCTAGATACACATTCCTGTAGAGCCCTCATGGGTGACGAAAATGGGAAATTAATTAATTTAGATAATTGGTTTTCATCTTCTTAACCTTCTACGTATCTGATCCGCGTAACCTTTCAAGACTCCGCGTCGTTTGCAGTATAAATTAGTGAGTTCCTTCGAGAAAGTAACGTAGCCTTCAGGTATCTGAAGTTTCTTGATAAGCGGTTATTCTTAATAATCTGGTCAATTCTTAATAATCTGGTTTCTTAATTTCTGCTGTTTCGAACAAACGCAGCCGGTTTGCATGTTTATGCGCAGTCTGTGTCCATCTGTCGTCAGCTTCTCCATTGTCGATGTACTGCATGTGCAACAGCGTTTTCACTGGTTCAGGTCTCCTTCTGGATTACTGCTGTCCGTTCGAAGGAGATTCCAGGAAAGTGCAATGATTTTATTTGGAGAGAAGTTACGTGTTGATGCAACAGCTATCAAGTCAACGGCATAGGGACGGCAAGATCAAGCTGCCGTATAACAGACTGGCCATAGTCCTTCCGAACTACCTTGTGGCTAATTAAGGATCGCGCGATACGCCTTCTTGCCCCCATGACTAGATAACAAAAGGACACTGCCGAAATCACCAAATTTTTATTGTTTTAGTTATCAGCCAGCGTTTTAAACATCACTTTCAAAAATACTATGAAACAAGGTAAACATTATTTAAAGTTAAAACTGCCAAAACGAGGAACAGTTGACGTCACAGAGAGCGTATTCCCCTGTTAAATTTCAGTGCTAAGACACTGCAGCAAGAACTCGAAAGATCGTCATTCTCCAGTAGCATCATTCGGTCGTGCACCCAGTTCATTTAAAAATTCCTTACATGCGGGGCCGGCAACACCGAAAATCTCAAAGCAAGGAATAAACCAAAACTCCAAAATATGTACATTTTGTTCTAACCACAAATCTTACGCTTGCATAAAGTTAGCGAAGTGTCGAAATTTACTGCAATGTTCTACCGGCAATAGTTTGATAATTTCTGCTACAGTTTATTATTCAAACAGAAAATTTCATGCTGCATTATCTTTAGATGCGTACATATTCTCTATCCGTAAAGTAAGTCTAAAAGTCTGATGGGTGTTAATTAAGCCTGCCGCCGAATGCAGGTATATGACCAAAGCCATAATAATCCTCTCCGTCTACAGATAGTACAGTATATAAATTTCCAGGAACACAAATGTTATATCACAGTCCCCAACCACAAGTAAGATAAATCGAATTTTACATTAGCCGGGTGGTGTACATGTACTGCTAATTTAGCTTAAAGATGCTACAGTGCCTTAACGAATGAGACCATCCACCATAGCAGAAAGATACAAATAACGTAAAAAGCTATACGGTAGGCAATCTGATCCGGACTTTCAGGATTTGCAAAGTCAAAGAGGCTATCAGACGTGCTGTTACCCCAGCGAGAATCGGAAGAATTCCAATCAAAATTCGTCAATTTTGTGTGATGGATGGTAGCCGTAGGAAAAGCATCCAATCTATCCAGTAATTCTTGGCGGTACGGCACCGTGGTATTATCCTCGAGAAAGGAAAACCATGCAGCATCAAAGTACCGGTACGCTGCGCCTTTAATCGCTCCCATCTGATTTTTCGGTTGATTCTCCATGTGCTCTCGCGAACGGAAAGCGTAGTGATTGATTCTGAGACCTTCCAACGGTGGATACACTGTCTTTCCAACTAAATCCGCTCCGCAATAATGAACACCGGCCATGCCGCATTTATCCGGCCGCCAGATCGATTTTCCGATTGCGTGCTGACAGTCAATGGCATTCTTGGTCGAGCCGCAAATTCTATCAAAGTGCTGCTGGAAATCCTTGTCAGCGTCGGGAAACGGCGCGCGCCTCGAGTTACGCGAGGTCAGCAATATATCCCCATTCAGAACGTCATTTGCAACAACAATCTGGTCTTCGAATGGGTCCAGCAGCAATCGCACCCGGTTCTCGTTCTGCACACCGCTTGTTCCAAAGCGGATGACCTTTGCACCAAACTGGCTGATTTCCTTGTCGGTTTGGCTGCGGAGAAATGCGGCGATGGTGTGGTGTTGCGGGGAGAACATGAACTCGTCCACATCGCAGACCAGCATCCACTCGCTGACACCGCGCATCCGGCTGTTACAGTGGTTCAACGCCTGCCACTGACCTTGGTCATGATCGGTGTAGGAGTGGTCGCCGGGCCGGCTGCGACGGCGAAAGTTCTGCGGGATAATCTCCACCAAATCGGGATAGCCCAGTGATTCGTACAACCGCGGCAGCAGATACACATCGTCGCTGCTCTCGTCTTCCACAAAGAAGAAGCGCTCAACCCCCTGAATGCGATGGAATTCAATCCATTCCAAAAGTACTTTCATCTCGTTCTTAATCATTGCACATGCAGTCAAGAAGTATTTCTTTTCTTCCGAGCCTGACAGGACCAGAGTACAAAAGGAAAGTAATAGCGTAACAGCAAGGAAAAGTTTTCGAATTTTGGTCCGAGCCATTTTCGAAAGATTCGGTATAGACAGACCACAATCAGTTCCTGCCTTGCGGCTGGTATGCCGGAGACGGTTCGGTTCAGTGTAGCGCGTTTAGTGGACGGATATTAATTATGCATATTGCAACATTGATGCAGGTTAAAACGCTAAGCAGGCAATATTGTGTAACGTTTTGCAGTGCACGTGGTAAGCAAGTAAGCATACCTTCTGTCTGCTTTTGAAGTGGTAAGAGATTTAAAATTGCATACGGTCACATGGGTTATAAAAATTTAATGCGGCGACGAACGCTTTCTGGATTGCTCAACTGCTAACAAATGTTTTAATCACGAAAAGCAGAGTCATCGATTTATTAATGAACATATAAGCGGCCTTCTTGAGGCAGCGTTTAAGATAGTGGAAAAAAATTTGAACTCTTGCTGGCGAATTAATTGTCATTCTAACGTAATTTATTATGACTCATGGTCAGTTTATGAGCGATGCTCGCCTAGGCTTACAGTGAATAACAGCGTGCAGCCTTGGTCCTTCGGCTGCAACTTTGTTCTGGGCGTTGCCTTTGGTTTTGTAACTTTAGTTTTGAACCACCTCATTTTGAGCAAAATTGCATACTGTCTAAACAGTTTCATTAGATATCTACCGCATTTTAATTAAACTGTAATCGGTCCTCCATACTTTACACCCTTCTAGGTGCAATGTTTTAGGGTAATGTTAATATTTTACTCTAGTACTAAAGAACTGCATTTATTCGGTAGCGGTCCGCTTCGGTGGAATATTTCCTGTTCTTCCAAACCTTTGTAATATATTTAGACAACTTTATTTATCTTTATTTCCTATTCTTCCAAACCTTTGTAATGACAACTTCTAAGCTGCCGCTAGTGGAGTGGGGTACACACGCGTACCACGTCGGTAAAAAGGCTCGATGATCCGTGGGTAATAACCCAGCTGATCTCAAGTACAATGGCAGAGTAGCACATAAACTCAAGGCGCGAATGCACGAACACAGGTTTAATCACCAGCGCAAGAGCTAGACTAAAAAAATTCCAACCATCTGCCGTTCGAGGCAGTACTGGGTCATCTCCTGATTTTACATCACAGAAATTTACAGAACATCTGAGGTACCTTCGTAACCAATTGGATTCAGGTTCCAATAGACTGTTCAGGATGTCTGTTTTGGTTGAGTTGTTACCAATGACAATCAGTAAGAATCAGATTCTACGGCGACACTACTGTCAAACTGTATGGTCGTATGGATATGGCTTCTTATTATTATTTCCCAACAGTCGTTTCGCATATGCCGTAGTGAAAATTGAGTTAATTATTTAAATAATGGAAATAATAAGGAAATGCTTGTGCAAAATAAAGACCGTCGGCCATAAAACGTACAAAGTTACGAACACGTCAGCGCATGAGGTACATAGTAGGGTAACTACTCGGTAGGGTTTGAGCAAAAACTCCGTTCTACTCGCAGTCGTAATAGAATGAATTATCAT